AGTTAGTTAGTTAGTTAGTTAGTTAGTTAGTTAGTTAGTTAGTTAGTTAGTTAGTTAGTTAGTTAGTTAGTTAGTTAGTTAGTTAGTTAGTTAGTTAGTTAGTTAGTTAGTTAGTTAGTTAGTTAGTTAGTTAGTTAGTTAGTTAGTTAGTTAGTTAGTTAGTTAGTTAGTTAGTTAGTTAGTTAGTTAGTTAGTTAGTTAGTTAGTTAGTTAGTTAGTTAGTTAGTTAGTTAGTTAGTTAGTTAGTTAGTTAGTTAGTTAGTTAGTTAGTTAGTTCTGCATGCTCGTATGTTACTATTATTCTTGATTTTCTTCTCCTTATACAGTTACAATCGTTATGTTATGTTCTATCGAGCATTCGGTGATCGCGTGGTTGTTGTCGATGCTAGTCAATATGGGAATAGTGCACGATTTGTTCGACGTTCATGTATTCCAAATTGTAGAGTAAGCCATTCTGAATGAAATTATAGTCGATATTTGGTTTTATGTATCAGCTTTTCATTTTCACTGTTTGTTTGTGAAAACAATTTTATCACATACAATCCGCTTACTTTAAAGTGTGTCTTTATCATTGACGTTGTAATCACTGTTTGTTTATCTCCTTCTGCTTAATTTTTACTTTCCCAACTACTATTTTTGCTGCATTCTCAATCGCAGTGAAATGATGATACCGAGTTTGTGGTCATTTTTATCCAATTCATCCTAGTTAGTTTATACACTCCCTTGTTTATGTATTTTGAAGTAATTAAGAGTGTAGGCAACAAGACTGACTTATAAATCAACATAGAATCTGACTGAAAAGTGCATCATTTCATCTTGCCACAACACCATAAAAGGTAGTGGTGATTCTCCTTCCCTACACTGTTCACACTAACATTTGTAGACTTTATGGCTACTTAAATTCGTACTTTGGATAATAACGTACATCGAGTTAGGCATGTACAGCATCTGTCACAGCCATATTAGACGATGAAGCTTTATAATTTCATCGGTTGACCTGGTATCATACTTCTAGCTTTGTCATTATATTGAAGAAACCTTATAACGGTAATCTATTATGAGAATTTAAGCCTCGTTTCTTCTACTTTGGTTTCTGTATAGTTAATAGAATTTCTCAAATATCTGATATATGGTCACCTTGAAGGTTACTGAAATAACCAATTAGGTTTAGTTTTTCATGTTGGGGTGGGGGGAGGGCTGTATTACTTTTTCAGCTGAAATAATCGAAAATAACTAGCTATCTTAGTGGTTGCTAGTGTGACGTGTAGAGTTACTCATAAACTAATACATCCTTCCTCTTCATAGAGTCAACATGACTAAACAGTGAAATGATATAGCATATTACTTTGCCATGGTCTAGTGTTTTTTGGTACAGCTGATATAACCTTTCATAAGCAAGTGACCCTGACATCATTTTATAGATATGGTAAAGCGAGGTTATTATATTGGTAATCAGTATTTTGACTTTCAGAGTTTGAAGCGAATATGTATTTATGATAAATTCTAGCCAGGTTTTATGAATACATTTACAAATTATTCAACATAGTCTTCATTTGATGTTAACATGGTTAAATTAATTCGGGTATATTGAACTAGATGCACTCAGCATAAAGCGGGAACAATATCCGGATTTTTAACACTAATCCAGTCAAGTCAGTGCTGCTATGTGGCTCGGAGACTTGGTGCGTTACGAAACGCATTTCCAACAAACTACACACATTCATCAACAACTGCCACCTACGCTCCTTACTGAAGCTCAGATGGATTGCCAGAAAGAATAAGCAACAAGGAACTCTGGCTGGCTGTCTGGCTGTCAACGAACCAACGAAGCAAGAACCTATCACTCAACAAATATCCACTGGAAGGAAGTGGAGATGGATTGGATTGAGCATACACTGAGAAGGCCGACTGGGGACATCACGCGTCACTCTAGGCACTCGAATGGAACCCAGATGGGAAGCGACGAGTTGGGCATGCGAGGCAAGGGTGACATGGAGGAGATGGTGTGAGGAAGAAATGACAGCTTATGGGCTGTGGTGGAGCCAGGTTGAAAAGATTTCAGAGAGCAGAGTGCACTGGAGACATGCTACTGAAACCCTATGTTCCACTACGAACCCAAGGGACAAATAATATATATAATAAAATAATATGAACTAGAAGATAACAATAAAGACGATAATAATAAAGTCGAACGTGAGGACAGTTACTCAACGACGGCATTAGATGGAGATCGCGCTATATAGTGAACTGACAGCAGTAGGAAATATGAAATCCTGAGTCTGAACCTGTTGGCTCAATGGTAACATGCTGGCTGTGTAACCTGAAGGTCTTGGGTTCGATTCATGGCGAGCTGGATCACGAGTAAACACTACTGAGGAGTCTCATACTAGAATGAAGCAATTATGCAGTACTCCCAAGTCTCTAATGTTTCCCTAAATAATATCAGTTCATGATAATACCAACCTGAATCAATAAATCCTCACAAACCTGAATATTAAGAAATCTCGAAGAGTTTTTGTATTTTCAGTAGCCAATCCTATAGGTGTTTGAGTGAAGTATATATAATATATATATATATATATATATATATATATATATATATATATTATACATATATACATATATATATATGCAGCGATAGAGGGGAATAAAATTACTGTCGCGTAGTGATTACATAACAAAATAACAATGATAAGAGTACAAACAGAGATAATATTTACATTTATCTGAGTGACTTGGATGGTAATTATTGTAATTGTATCTAGGTTGAAGGCCATGAGAGTGAAAAGAAACGATTAAACATCTTCTGAATGAAAAAATTAGGTTTTTAAATGTTAATTGTTATAGCTTATGATATAGTTTTGCCAATCAGAGACACAAAAACTTAGAGTATTTTAATAGCATTTAGTTAAACAATAGTAAATTCTAAGGTTTTGTCAATCTTATACTCAGTATCAACTAGATGGGTTAGTTTATATTGGATTTTTGATGAATTTCACTATTCCTTTGCCTAACTAAGCTAAACAGTGTTCATTGAAGCGAAGTTGAGTTGATCAATGTACATAGATGTGGCCAGATTCATGAGTCTATCCTTCAACCAAACTAATTTAATCATATTGAGTGCTGACAGAGTTGTGATGGTGATTGGTACTTCCCGGCTGCTCACACTATGGAAGGCTATTTCTTCTTAAAGTACCTAAAAGAGATTTGTGTGAGCATATAGCCCATCGGACATCTGCTTGTGGCCTGTCACATATAGCCTTTTGTGTTTGATTATTTTGAACTTTTGTATTTTTGGGGCCGGATGGTCGAAAGGAAACGACAGATGAACCAAAACCACCGGCCCGGCAGACCGTGGGACATAGTGGAGTGTTATTTTTGGGGCCGATCTTTTCTAACCCTCCCCCTCCGTTCCACTAAGAAAGCAGCATCAGCATGGCACTGCTGGTCATCCACGGGAAACACCTTACTGTTATCACATCCCATCCAGCTAGCAGCAGTACGACTTCGCCCTCAGACCCCCATCATAGTGTAGTAATTTACACCACAATAGTAACTGCTTTTCATCTAACCACTATCCAACAGACCTTTCTGGTATGGTAGGATCTCAAGGGAACAAGTGTTTCACCAGGATAGCTCTTTGGGTCATTGTGGTATGCAAGCTCAACCACACCACGTCAAGGTAGCAGCTATCGGTCGGACCGTTACGCAGTAATGCCTGGTCCTAGGTTGATCTGGATGTATGAATGGATGGAATTTAATCATATTGGTAACAAATGAAGACCATTCTGAGTTATTTTTTTTAAATATAAGTTATCATTTCGACTATCTGTCATGGTTTGGTAGACTAGTATTAATTACTGAGTGATGATTGAAGGTGAAATGAAAGTTTAGATGGCAGTTGGATTCGAACCATCGACCACTGTGTAAATTGTAAAGCCTGATAAAAAAATTTACCGAAAACACGTATTCACTTCAAACTCTGTTTTTATCATACATTTCTTTTGGTCTACCGTATTTTATATCTCGTGAATTTGAATGTGTAAAGTTCACTTAAACTTTGTTTTCACACTGTTTTTTTTTTTTTGAAATTATTATTATCCGATTTCTAGCTTGAACACTATGTTGTACAAAGCAAACTTCAAATTGTAATACGTACATCAATGGAAGTAATGCCTGGTACTGAGTTGACTATCCCTTTCGATTTAGACTATCGAGCATGTCGTTATCCTTTAGATTGTGCTTGTGCAAGATCTCGTTGTCCTGTCCTTAAATGGCGTCGAAAGTTACTTCGTAATAAAGTGGTTCCAACTTAGATTATAGTAAATATATTGAATCACAACTTCGTGTGTAAGTTCTGGTGGATTTATCATTATAGTATGTAATTATTTTTTTATTCAGTATTTATGTGATTCTATGAGAATATTATCATATTCTCACAAATTTTCCATCAGTTGTTTATTTCTCTGTCTATTGAACTAGTCAACTTGTTCAGCAAGGAGTCTTGCTCTTTGAGAGCTGCGTGTTTTTCCCCCCAATTGGACAAAGTGGCTGAAATTAACAATTCGGTTCATTGGTTTCACCTTGAAGGTTAATTTTTGCTTAGACTACAAAGCTTAATTGGTTATTTCAATCGCTGTTAGGGTGTCCTTCAAGTTCACACGATATATATTAGAATTGTCATAAGGTGTGTGTAATTCATACGCGTTTTCTTTGACCTAAACACAATTATTCATATTCCAGAGGTTGTTACTTATGTCAATACCATGAACGTGTGAAACCTTAAAGAAGTAGTCTCTTTCACCTACCTAGGCAGCATCGTCTCAACTACAGGTGACACAGGTAAAGACATCATGACCAGAATCAGAAAAGAAAGATAGGCCTTCATTAACCTCAAAATCAATGTGGAGATTCACTCCACTCAGCATAAAGCGTGAACAAGCAAGTCAGTGCTTCTATGTGATGGTTAAGAGACTTGGCGCGTTACAAAAGCATTTTCAAAAAACTACAGAGATTCATCAACAGCTGCCTACGCTCGATACTGAAGATCAGACCAGATGGTCAGAAAGAATAAGCAGCAGGGAACTATGGGTGTCAACGAACCAACCAAGGAGCTATCGCGCAACAAATATGCAGTGGAAGGAAGTGGAGTTGGATCCGGCATTCAGTGAGAAGACCATTTTGGGACATCACGCCCCATGCCAGGCGCTCGAGTGCAACCCTAGTGGGAAATGACGAGTTGGGTATCCGAAGCGAGAGTGACATGGAGGAGATCGTGTGAGGAAAAAAATGAAAAGTTATATGGAGTCGTGGAGCCAGGTTGAAAAAACCGTAGAGAAGAGAATGAAATGGTAACGTGCTACTGAAGTCGTATGTTCCACGATGAACCCAAGGGATAAATAATAGCAAGCTGGTTTCGGTGGATGTCTAAACCTTATAACCTACTTTTGTTTGGCTTAGCTGTATGAGAAAGGCTTACGTGACTGTATAGTCTAAGGATACTAAACAACACCTACCTAAATTTCCCTGATTTCCTTTAATAGCTGAAATAATAATGATTTGTAAAACAACTAGTTCCGTTTGTCAACAAAACAATAAGAGGACGTAAAATTGTCTTAACCATACAATGTATTCGCGCAACACATACTTGTCATAGGTAGTTCATAAAGAGATAATGGGATGAGATTATGAAAAGAAGTGAAGTAGCAAGACTGAATTAAGGGTCAAATAGCAATGAAAATAATAGTATATTGAGTTTATGGTTCATCATTAATTTAACAAGTTGACTTACAGCCAAATGGGTTATGGGTTCCAGCTCCGCTCCATTTACCAAGATTCAGCCAGCCAGGTAGAAAGGAGAAATGATGAGTTGCGCATCCGACGGGGTGATATGAAGAAGATGGTGTGAGGAAGAAATGAAAAGTTATGGGAGATAGTCATGGAGCCAGGTTGAAAAGACTGCAGAGAACTGAGTGAAATGGAGATGGAAGATATAAGAAGGCTTGCAGTGTTTGACCACCATTGCCTTCGTAGTATAAGCCATATTCCGTGGTGTCACCACGTGAGTGAGTAATGCAGAAGTCAGGAGAAGAGGTAAATCAGTTGACGAGGTAAACAACCTTCATCGATTGAGATGGTTGGGACATGTGTTACGTATGCTTAGTCGCCGATTGCCTCGTCACACAATGTTGGCTGAAGTAGATCGAGGCTGGAAAAAGGCCCGAGGTGTCCAGACTAAAACATGACACGAATGTATAAAGTGTTCAACTGTTAGTTTGAGCCATGTGGATGATGCAGACTAGGGGTTGGGTCTGCGGGACAAAAGTAACCAGTGGTTAGAGATCTAGGTGATCACATGGCTCAGAACGAATGTCATTGGAGCAGATGTGTCCACATACATTATCGTCATCTTAACGACGGTCTACCGAATCTCATCATTTTGTCGCTCCTCTTTTCTTTCTTCTCATACTTTATATTTCTTTTGACTGCATTCTCTTATCTTCATGCTTCACCTCACTACCTTTCTACTTGATGTAGTGATGTGAGGTGTGTCAACTCGGACCGTTACTCAGTAATGCCTGGTGCTGTGTTGATAATGATGATGTGCTTCTGAAGCCCCACGTTCCACTAGGAACCTAAGGGAAAAATAATAATATTATTTGAATATATTTTCATCGTATCATCTAAAAAAAACTATTTTTTTTTCTCTAAAACAACAAACCTTTTATTGTAGACTATCAAAACCCTTATCCCAAGACAGTTCAACTAATCGATCCTATGATTCAGGTAGTTTAACATCATCTCCTCTTGTAAAGACATCTATCTCATCAAATATTGTCAATCAATCAACTAATCTTTCTTCAAATGTAAATTATAATCTTTATCCTATAAAATCTAATTTTCGTAAAGAAATTGAATTACCTTACCCTGACTATAATCTTAATGATGAAGATAAATTGAATGAAACATCAATAGATTTAGATAAAACTTGTTCTAATCAAAATTATACAACAACAAATTGTACATCATCATCAACAACATCATCATCATCTATTGTTATAAATAATCAATATAAAAGTATTGAAAAGACTAATATAGATTATGATAACTTAAAGAATAATAATTTTGTAACAGATGAAAATCAAATACCTAAGACATCTGAATCTACTAATACATTAATTGAAATCAATTCAAAAATATCTTTACAACATATAAAAGATGTTTCATATCGAAAAAATCAAAATGTAACCGAAGAGAAATCGGTAAGTTTTTTTTTTAATTTTTATTAATCTCTCTCGTTTTTCCTATTTTATCCAGTTTAATGTATATTTTTCCTTTGTTTATGGGTGATGGTGATACAGCATATTACCATGCTGAAAACACACTTTTTTCCTTTGAAGATTTAGTTTTCATGATAATTAATGAATTTTCATTCATTCAACACCCCACTGATTTCTCTTCTCCCATGGATTACAACTAGCCTAGTGTCTGTATCTCATGAAAAAAGGGTCAATTAATGCCATGTTTTAGTCTGACCATGATCATAAGCCTTTATCCCAACCTCAACCTATTTCGGCCAATATTGTCTGCTTTGTTCTACTGTATGGCTGTGAAACATGACCATTGAAAGTGGAAGATATAAGAAGGCTTCAAGTGTTTGACCACCGTTGCCTTTGTAGTATAAGCCGTATTCCGTGGTGTCACCACGTGAGTGAGTAACGCAGAAGTCAGGAGTAGAGGTATGTCAGTTGACGAGGTTAAGAACCTTCATCGATTGAGATGGTTGGAACACGTACTACGTATGCCTCATCACACAATGTTTTGCTGAAGTATGTGGAGGCTGGAAAAAGGCCCGAGGTGTCCAGACTAAAACATGTCACCAATGTATGAAGTGTATGACTGTTAGTTTGAGCTATGTGATGTCTGCGGAACAAGAGTAACCAGTGGTTGGTGATCACATGACTCACCATTTTGTCACTCCTCCATTCTTTCTTCTCGTAATTTATATTTCTTTTGACTGAATTTCTTATCTTCATGCTTCACCTGACTACTTTCTACATGATGTAATGGAATGCAGTGTAGCAAGTTGGACGGTTACTCAGTAATGCCTGCTCCTATGTTGATATTGATTGATTGATTGGTTGTCTGCTTTGTTTTACTCTATGTCTGTGAAACATGAGCATTGAAAGTGGAAGACATGAGAATGCTTCAAGTGTTTGATTACCGTTGCCTTCGTAGGATACGATATGTTTCACAGTTTCACCACATGAGTAACTTATAAGTAGGGTGTAAAGTTATCGACAGGAGAAAGAAGACAATTGATGTGGTTGTGAACCTTTATGGACTGAGATGGCTGTGACATGAGTTACCTTTGCCTAGTCACCGTCTATCTCGTCTCAGATGTATACCCACATTATTCTCATTGTAACTGCTTTTCTTAGTCTCTCCTTTTTACTACTTCCACTTCCTTTGACCAATTTTTCTTTCCTTCTTCATCTTCAATTTTTTTTTTGCCTTCTTACTTGATGTGCTGACGTCATGTGTGGCAACTTGAACCTTTACGTAATAATGCCTGGTCGTATGTTGTTTTCGATGATGATTTTGATAATGATAATGAGACGTCGCTTGCCTGAAGTGCAAAATTTTGTGAACCCTTTCAGCAGAAATTGAAGTATGTTCGGAATGTGGTTGTGCTCATATGATGATAAAATATAAGGGTATTCTTCTAGACTGATTTGTATCATTTTCTAGTTTTAGGATTAATGATGAAAAGATGCTATGGGTTGATGACTGGGCTTGTTTTTGATGGAATTTCAGGTTGGATACAAAAATCTGTCCAAAATGGCATTTGCCAGCGTCGGCGATATATCTGGATAAGTAATAGTAGATAAGTAGACTGTAAAACAGTTCCGTCTATCTTGTTTTATGTGGTTCGTTAGAAAGGATAAAACGTAAAAGTAGAAGACATGATGAGACAACAGGACTTCGTCCATAGGTATCCTCTTGGTGTTTCTTGCGTGTTATGAGTAAAATCACATTATGAGGAATGCTGAGGTTAGGTATGGATGGGGAGTCAGTCGATAAGGTTGAGTTTGTTTAGACACATGTTTTTCATAGTCCATTCACTGCTTACGTGAAAAAGGATGCCTATTGAAACGTGGTTGAGTTAAGAGAATGCTGGTGGTAGTCAAACCAGAACACAACACAAGTGCATGGAACCTGTTTATTTGATCCATTTAGACAGATTCAAGCTGTCACATTGGAGTTGTCGAAATGATAGGAACTAGAAGTTAGTTGGATACTGTAAGTAAAATAGCGTGAAGTAACCGTCCATATAGTCAATTAGTTATCTTCGAAGTGTTGAATTATTTGTGTAACCTTTATGTTTTCATTCTGTTGCTTTTTGTCGACTTTTGTGTTGGATAGTGTGATTTGTTTTGGTGTGTGTGTGTGTGTGTGTGTGGTGAAGTTGGGGGTTGGAGTAAAGCATGAATGATGATGATATATATGGGTGTTGAAGATAGTTGGGGTTTGTACCGTGCTACACGGATATGGAACGTATGGAATTGAGATGTGATATGAGTGACATAAGATGTTTCATTTCGCATAGGTCTCTCTCTGCTGGAGATTCTAGACGATATGGCTCAGAACCGAAGTCACTGGCACAGATGTACACACACATTATCCTCATCTTAACGACGCTATACCGAATCACACCATTTTCTTATTCTTTCTTTCTCCCTTTTAGTACTTTATATTTCTTCTGACTGGATTTCCTTTTTTTCATCTTCCACTTCAGTATCTTTTTACTTAATGTAGTGATGTGAGGTGTGGCAACTCGGACCTGTTACGCTGTAAGTAATACATGGCTTTCTATTGATTGCCTATACCAGCGTTTCCTTACTACTTACACTGGTTGCTTGCTTTTGGGTTGACTAATTTAACTATATCATCTTTAGTGTTTTAGCACTGAGCCAAAGATAATCGATTAAGTTTCTCAGTGAAACCATAAATTGAAGTAACGTGACACAGTGATTTACTATATTTTATTGTTAGGTAATTGTTATAAATAAAGAAATCGTAGTGCAAGTTGATATGTTTAGAATGTAGTTTTGTGGGTTAGTGAAAAAGTATTATTATTATTAATGTGTCATAACAATAGTTTCGGAGTATGCTGAATCGTTTTTCAAAGCGATGTTATTCTACATTATGCAATCATCTCTTAACACTTGTGTTTTTGAGGTCATTTCTTCAGCATGTATCGACGAATCACTGGAGTTGTGACTCAGTGATATTGACTACTTGACCTTCGCCCAACCTGTTCACATTCTTATTGGACATACTTAAGCCTGAGAAACCAGGTAGTAACATAGGCTATTACACAATAACTATATCTTGCTGATTCAATACATAAATCTCTTCTAGATTGAGTTGCATTAAATTATTTTATATCTTCAAAAGATCACTGCTTTGAAGCGTGTTGGAATGTTTGTGTTATAATGCGGAGTTACCAGGATAAACGAAAATACTTAACGATTGATAGTCATGGGTTGAAACGATTTCAACCCAAGTGATTCGTAAGAGAAATCAAAAGACAAGAAATAATTAGAGGTCAGGAACCAGTCAGAAACCTAGCAGGTCATACAAAATATGATCCATGCACAGGAAAAAAAACACGAAGTAAAATGGTCCAAATATACCTAAACTGTAAGTATGTTGATGTGACTGGGTCGGAATAGGACGTGGGTTTTAATAATAAGCGAAACGGGTAATAATGTAAGGAGAAGCTTGGACTGGATACGAGTAATGTGACTGTTGTCCCTCACACCTGATACTTCACTGAGCCGCGAAAATCAACAGATAAAAAACGGACCTATGACTCACTGAGTGATTTAACGAAGACGATCTTATTTGACAAAAAAACAGTTTTTATGTACAGCTTCTACTCGGAAAATGAAGCGACTAGATCACCAATCCTCTGAAGAGCAAAATATGTTCTACCCCGAAGGCGAATGGCCTTGAACGATGATTGAAACCACATCGGGATACCAGCCCGATCGATGTTCAAGCGAGCTATGAGATCTAACTGCTGACCACCGAGAGTTTTGCTCAACTGCCATTTAAATTCGTGGATGCGTTACTTCCACTTGATCGTACTCACACTGGGTCCTTAGTTAGAACTTCTAATCTCAATCCAAATGTTGTAACTGAACTAAAGAGGGGGAGCATCATATTGATTATCATTTTTTTTAAATATATGGATATAGTAGGCGACCCCAACAGTTTATCGTTTCGTAAACGTGAATTTATCGTCATAGCCAAGTGTGCTTTTTGAAGCAGTGGTCGGTTGCTTTCCTAGCTAGCCACTGTGTTTTCGCTTGTAACAGTATATATACTCATATTATATGCTATCATAAGGTTATTTATGCTTACTATCATTATTATTATTACTACTGTTGTATTTTTGAGATGAATGGAGATTTTTAATTTTGAAGTAGTATTCACCATGGACTGACATCAGTTGGGGAACCATTGAAAATCTGGGAGCACTGGACAGCCGCCTGTTTCGTCCTAGTATGGGACTCCTCAACAATAGGCACCCACGACCCGGCTAGGGATGGAACTCATGAACTTCAGTTTTCACGGCGAAGGCGTTAACCATTCAGCCACTGAGTCGGTTTTCAGTGGTTCACAATTTCCAACTTCTGTCAGTTCATGACATATCGTGACTGTCACCCAAGGTCTTCAGTTAGCGTCCACTTCACTTCCGACCGGTTGACCCCACAGGAAATTGTGAACCACTGAAGACCAACCCAGTGGCTGAACGGTTAACGCGTTCGCCGTAAAACCTGAAGGCCCTGAGTTCCATCACTAGCCGAGTCGTGGGTGCCTACTGTTGAGGAGTCCCATACTAGGGTGAAACAGGCGGCTGTCCAGTGCTCCCAGATTTTCAATGGTTCCCCAGCTGATATCAGTCCATGATGAATACTGCTTCTATATTATTATTATTGATGGTTATCTTATTATGATTGCTACCAAGATGATGTATATGACACTACTGACAATAAGCTTTGTTTATATTTCTCCACCTGCTAGCCTTTTGAACCTATTATTACAACAAGAAGACAAGCTGCTGCAGCTATGAAAAGTGTCTTGAGATGATCACCAGGGCTTTCATTGGTCATAGACAACTTCATTATATCACTTTTTTTGAAGTAATAATTTATGCTTTTTTTAGAAAAAAATTTGATATTTTACTTTCCTATCTTCTGTGGTGGGGGTGTGTGTATGTCCGCGCCACAGTCAGCATACTTCTTCGCTTTTTCTTTTTTCTATCTTCCTTCTACTAGAATCGTTTCTACGATATGACGTAATTGTAATGGTGCTGTTATTGTCTTTTATTTTCTTTTGTAAATGTTTTGTCCCCCCGCCCCCTCCGCCTATTGTTACTATCGCCAACAATATTATTACTTTACTTGTGTGTTGCCGCCATAACTATTTTTTGTACATGATATGATTGTCCTTTCCTGTCTTTATTTTGATCTTTTGTATACTTAATCCTAATGCACACACACAAATTTGCACACATTATTATTATTATCAGAAAGACTACGTTATAATCCAGCAACTGAATAGTATGGTGGTATTATTTCCTTCCTTTAAACAAAAATGTAAACAGTTTAGAAATGGAGCTTTCTCTCTTTCAGTGGATTAGATTGGAGTTTTATGCACAGGTGATTATTTCTGCAAAATTTCTAGTCGTATGATCATTTTTTTGTAGCCAACGATTTGTAGGATTTCGGTCTGCTAGCTCATAACTTACCCGAATTCTAACTCCGATAGTCCAGTGTTCATTTAGAAGTGGTATAGAGTTTCAACAGGGTACGCTGAAAAGATGATCTACTAACTTCTGTTTTATGAGATAATTTGGGGAGGTTGGGGGCAAACTATACTTTAAAAGCTATACAATAGAAAAGTGTCCCTGAGACACAGTTTTGTGTTCTAAATTTTAAGTAAGCTTTCAAATTAGTTAAAGAGTAATCAGAGACTGGTTTTAGTTCCAAATACAACATCCTCGAAGAATTTGTATAACAAGATAGCATTAATATGTAACTTATCCCTGCTTATAATATCAGTTACTAGTTCAGTATAACTTTCTGACTGTAATTCGAGGGACTTTAAAAACCATTCTAACAACTGCTGAAATAACCAATCAATTTTCAGTATTTTGTGAAAAGCTACCTGTCTTACTGGAATACGGAAACCTGATTGGTTATTTCAGCAGTTGTCAGGATGGCCTTAAAAGTCACTCCTGTAATTGGTGTAGGCATGTAGTTTTGCTTTCTTGGCCTTAGTCCTGACCTTGGTTGTGATTGGTTTAAAGTATACTTGTTCAGTCTCGTACACTCAATTCGCCCACGTGATGAGTCACGCAATTTCGTCCTGCCAACCGCTTGCAACAGAACAGTCTGTTGCTTATTGTCGCTATTTATATCAGACGATCTCATTCATCTGCATGTGACCAGATTTACCACACATCATAATTTTAACAACGAAATATCGGATAACAGTAAATTTCATTGAAATTATTTCTGAGATTCAGTTCAGCATACAGAAACGAGTGAGGGGTCAATCAAAAGCTTTTTTCCTCCATGTTAAACAATAATGCCACCATATAAATCATAAGGAAAACGACTTTAAATATGCAGAATAAGACGACCAGTGCCACCTCTGCCGAGATTCACATTCTCGACTGATTGTAACAAAACTAATGTCATCTCAGAGTTTGTTTATTCTTAGGAGAGATGAATCATCCTAAGGTGACTGCTAGAGTAATCAGAATATTTATTAGTCACCTATTATTATTATGGCTAGCAGAGGAATCCAGGAGTCACGTTTCGTCCTCTTGGGACTCGTCAACCGGATGTACCTGCACCCTCGTGCCGAGTGATGTTCCTACTGAGACTAGAACCTCGTACTCACCTCTTCGATCTCCAAGGCGTTATCCACTATGCCACACAGGCACAATAGCTATTTCTTATACAACAAATGTTAGTTATTACTATTTATTGGTATACTTGTAATATTACATTGCTTTATTGAATCGATTGTTCGACCTCTATTGCCACATGGACTCCTATGCGAAAGACTCGAAAATGCCTAAATGTTAATCATGGTAATTTGATTGTTTATTTCTAGCAAAGGAATCCAGGACGCGCGTTTATTTGAAGTTGGTTATAGGCGTTGAAAACATCGCTATAATACACTGAATTGTTGGGTAGTTTATATGCACATACTCGTGTTTGTGTACACTTTCTTGTTAAATGTTTTGTAGTTGTGTGTTGATCTTACTCAAAGGCTGGTGAAATACAACTCGTAGACACAGCGTTCGTTTATTGTATACTTCTTTAAAGCTTAACAGTCGACTTGCACAATTGACAATGGTTGTTAATACTGGAAATGCAGGTAAGTACATTATTATTATTATTAGTCCCTTGGGTTCCTAATGGGACATAGGGCTTCAGTAGCATGTCTCCATTCCACTCTGTTCTCTGAAATCTTTTCAACCTGGCTCCACGACAGCCTAGAAGCTCTCATTTCCTCCTCGCACGATCTCCTCCATGTCATCCTCGGACGTCCAACTCGTCGCTTCCCATGGGGGTTCCACTCGAGGGCCAGGTAAATACATGCCAGGTCAATTTTATTTCTTCAAAGTTTCCCTGCTTAGCGTGTTTATTGAGTGTAGGCTAGTTTCATGATGAGATTGTCCTCTTCAGTAAGATTTGTTTCCCAGATTGGTATTTATCATGGACTGACATTAGTTGGAGAAACACTTGAAACATGGACAGCTGTTTCTTCTTAGTATGGGACTCCGCAGTGCGCACCCATAACCCAGCCCGTCAGGTGTCGAACCCGGAACCTTTGGGTAACGTGGTCAGAAATTACCACTGGATCGGAATACTAACCGGAAATCAGTAAGTCCCGACAAATCTCAAAACTGGATTAATCTGGTGCTCGTTGATGACTAGTTTCGGGAAGTGATCCACGAAGTTCCGAGGAGAAGTCGTGACCAGTGGAGCCAACCAAGTGGAACTTGAGAAGAGTTACTCAACAACTGTACTGGGTAGAGGTCACGCTATATCGTGAACTGACAGAGGTAAGGAATATGGACAATCGGATTCCGACGAAGTGGTTCAGTAATAACTTGCCGGCCACAGAACTCGAAGGTCGCGGGTTCGATCCGTGGCGGAGCCCCGGGTGCACATTGCTTAGGAGTCCTACTTTAGGACTTTGAAATGCTGCCAGGTTTCCAATGTTTCCCTAACTAATGTCATTCCATGAAGAATACTAACATGAAATAGATAAATCCACAAAATTTACAGAATTAACAAAGCTATTTAAATCGAGTCAGTTGACTTCACTTAGTTGTGAATGCATCTGATTCCTAGTTATGTTAGGAAGCCTCAATAACTCCAAGAACAATGTCCAACACATTCCTAATACTCAGGTGAGGTTGACTTCAGCAGTTCCATTTTTTGCCTTCGGTTCTATTTCTTCGTTCAAAAGTATGAATTTCATCTTCTAAGAACATTGGTCTCATTTCACGACTGCTGCAGTCGGATGTTTTTAGTGTGATATACTTGCATTCAGCATGAAATTTTACAATGCTCTGCCAGAGTCTTCTTCAAGAAGAGATATAAAGTCAGCAAATTAATGGCATAAACGACCAATCTAGAAGGGAGTGTTTTCTGGTCATTTATCATCTTGATCGATAGCTGCTATCCAACTGGCTGAAACGCTTGTTCCTTCTACGTCATCGCATGCCAGAAACGTTTGATAGTGTTAAGACGAAAAGCAGTTACCGTTGTAGTGCAAATTGCTACACTATGATATGGGTCTAAGGGCGAAGTCATACTGCTGCTAGCTGGATGGGGTGGGACAGTAGTAAGTTGCTTCTCTTCGATGACCAGCAGTCCCGCGCTGATGCTGCCTTCTCAAAGAGAAGGGAGATTTGAAAAGGTCAGTCGTCAAAATAACACAGTCCATTTGCCCCACAATCTTACGATGCTTGGTGTATGGGCTCTTTGTAACCGGCGTTAGAGCATTCAAAACAACATCCTGCGAGAGGCCATATGTGACAGGTCTCAAGCAGATGTCCTATAGACTTTGCAGTCATAAACCTTTTTCTCTTTCAAGGACCCTTAAGTAGAAATTGCCTTCCATAATGTGGACAGCCAACCATCCACATATTTCCAGTAGTATGCAAAACCCTGTATGGAAAATACAGCAGAAAACGCTTATTTCTTCTCCTCCGTGACCGGGCAGTCTATACTTTATAGCTGTATCAATACCAGCTCACTGTTATAATATGCTTGAATACAATGCCTACCGGTTAACGTTTTGTTCCAAGAGTTATTTCGGCAAAAGTGTGTTACTTGTTATTACATTATCAAGTTCAACATTTAAAACGTGTACAATATCAGTCGAAGTGCAATTAACAGGGTAGACTTTGCCTAAAAACTTGAGAACCATAGGTGCGCAATTCATATATTTCGCCTAACTAAATCAAACTTCGCCATATTCAGTCGGATGTGGTTATTCCAAAGATGTGTGCATCGAGTTTGTGACATAAAATATCATTTAAATTGATTTGTAGTCATATATATATATATATATATATATATATATATATATATATATATATATATATATATATATATGACTACAAATCAATTTAAATGATATTTTATGTCACAAACTCGATGCACACATCTTTGGAATAACCACATCCGACTGAACATGGCGAAGTTTGATTTAGTTAGGCGAAATATATGAATTGCGCACCTATGGTTCTCAAGTTTTTAGGCAAAGTCTACCCTGTTAATTGCACTTCGACTGATATTGTACACGTTTTAAATGTTGAACTTGATAATGTAATAACAAGTAACACACTTTTGCCGAAATAACTCTTGGAACAAAACGTTAACCGGTAGGCATTGTATTCAAGCATATTATAACAGTGAGCTGGTATTGATACAGCTATAAAGTATAGACTGCCCGGTCACGGAGGAGAAGAAATAAGCGTTTTCTGCTGTATTTTCCATACAGGGTTTTGCATACTACTGGAAATATGTGGATGGTTGGCTGTCCACATTATGGAAGGCAATTTCTACTTAAGGGTCCTTGAAAGAGAAAAAGGTTTATGACTGCAAAGTCTATAGGACATCTGCTTGAGACCTGTCACATATGGCCTCTCGCAGGATGTTGTTTTGAATGCTCTAACGCCGGTTACAAAGAGCCCATACACCAAGCATCGTAAGATTGTGGGGCAAATGGACTGTGTTATTTTGACGACTGACCTTTTCAAATCTCCCTTCTCTTTGAGAAGGCAGCATCAGCGCGGGACTGCTGGTCATCGAAGAGAAGCAACTTACTACTGTCCCACCCCATCCAGCTAGCAGCAGTATGACTTCGCCCTTAGACCCATATCATAGTGTAGCAATTTGCACTACAACGGTAACTGCTTTTCGTCTTAACACTATCAAACGTTTCTGGCATGCGATGACGTAGAAGGAACAAGCGTTTCAGCCAGTTGGATAGCAGCTATCGATCAAGATGATAAATGACCAGAAAACACTCCCTTCTAGATTGGTCGTTTATGCCATTAATTTGCTGACTTTATATCTCTTCTTGAAGAAGACTCTGGCAGAGCATTGTAAAATTTCATGCTGAATGCAAGTATATCACACTAAAAACATCCGACTGCAGCAGTCGTGAAATGAGACCAATGTTCTTAGAAGATGAAATTCATACTTTTGAACGAAGAAATAGAACCGAAGGCAAAAAATGGAACTGCTGAAGTCAACCTCACCTGAGTATTAGGAATGTGTTGGACATTGTTCTTGGAGTTATTGAGGCTTCCTAACATAACTAGGAATCAGATGCATTCACAACTAAGTGAAGTCAACTGACTCGATTTAAATAGCTTTGTTAATTCTGTAAATTTTGTGGATTTATCTATTTCATGTTAGTATTCTTCATGGAATGACATTAGTTAGGGAAACATTGGAAACCTGGCAGCATTTCAAAGTCCTAAAGTAGGACTCCTAAGCAATGTGCACCCGGGGCTCCGCCACGGATCGAACCCGCGACCTTCGAGTTCTGTGGCCGGCAAGTTATTACTGAACCACTTCGTCGGAATCCGATTGTCCATATTCCTTACCTCTGTCAGTTCACGATATAGCGTGACCTCTACCCAGTACAGTTGTTGAGTAACTCTTCTCAAGTTCCACTTGGTTGGCTCCACTGGTCACGACTTCTCCTCGGAACTTCGTGGATCACTTCCCGAAACTAGTCATCAACGAGCACCAGATTAATCCAGTTTTGAGATTTGTCGGGACTTACTGATTTCCGGTTAGTATTCCGATCCAGTGGTAATTTCTGACCACGTTACCCAAAGGTTCCGGGTTCGACACCTGACGGGCTGGGTTATGGGTGCGCACTGCGGAGTCCCATACTAAGAAGAAACAGCTGTCCATGTTTCAAGTGTTTCTCCAACTAATGTCAGTCCATGATAAATACCAATCTGGGAAACAAATCTTACTGAAGAGGACAATCTCATCATGAAACTAGCCTACACTCAATAAACACGCTAAGCAGGGAAACTTTGAAGAAATAAAATTGACCTGGCATGTATTTACCTGGCCCTCGAGTGGAACCCCCATGGGAAGCGACGAGTTGGACGTCCGAGGATGACATGGAGGAGATCGTGCGAGGAGGAAATGAGAGCTTCTAGGCTGTCGTGGAGCCAGGTTGAAAAGATTTCAGAGAACAGAGTGGAATGGAGACATGCTACTGAAGCCCTATGTCCCATTAGGAACCCAAGGGACTAATAATAATAATAATGTACTTACCTGCATTTCCAGTATTAACAACCATTGTCAATTGTGCAAGTCGACTGTTAAGCTTTAAAGAAGTATACAATAAACGAACGCTGTGTCTACGAGTTGTATTTCACCAGCCTTTGAGTAAGATCAACACACAACTACAAAACATTTAACAAGAAAGTGTACACAAACACGAGTATGTGCATATAAACTACCCAACAATTCAGTGTATTATAGCGATGTTTTCAACGCCTATAACCAACTTCAAATAAACGCGCGTCCTGGATTCCTTTGCTAGAAATAAACAATCAAATTACCATGATTAACATTTAGGCATTTTCGAGTCTTTCGCATAGGAGTCCATGTGGCAATAGAGGTCGAACAATCGATTCAATAAAGCAATGTAATATTACAAGTATACCAATAAATAGTAATAACTAACATTTGTTGTATAAGAAATAGCTATTGTGCCTGTGTGGCATAGTGGATAACGCCTTGGAGATCGAAGAGGTGAGTACGAGGTTCTAGTCTCAGTAGGAACATCACTCGGCACGAGGGTGCAGGTACATCCGGTTGACGAGTCCCAAGAGGACGAAACGTGACTCCTGGATTCCTCTGCTAGCCATAATAATAATAATAATAATAGGTGACTAATAAATATTCTGATTACTCTAGCAGTCACCTTAGGATGATTCATCTCTCCTAAGAATAAACAAACTCTGAGATGACATTAGTTTTGTTACAATCAGTCGAGAATGTGAATCTCGGCAGAGGTGGCACTGGTCGTCTTATTCTGCATATTTAAAGTCGTTTTCCTTATGATTTATATGGTGACATTATTGTTTAACATGGAGGAAAAAAGCTTTTGATTGACCCCTCACTCGTTTCTGTATGCTGAACTGAATCTCAGAAATAATTTCAATGAAATTTACTGTTATCCGATATTTCGTTGTTAAAATTATGATGTGTGGTAAATCTGGTCACATGCAGATGAATGAGATCGTCTGATATAAATAGCGACAATAAGCAACAGACTGTTCTGTTGCAAGCGGTTGGCAGGACGAAATTGCGTGACTCATCACGTGGGCGAATTGAGTGTACGAGACTGAACAAGTATACTTTAAACCAATCACAACCAAGGTCAGGACTAAGGCCAAGAAAGCAAAACTACATGCCTACACCAATTACAGGAGTGACTTTTAAGGCCATCCTGACAACTGCTGAAATAACCAATCAGGTTTCCGTATTCCAGTAAGACAGGTAGCTTTTCACAAAATACTGAAAATTGATTGGTTATTTCAGCAGTTGTTAGAATGGTTTTTAAAGTCCCTCGAATTACAGTCAGAAAGTTATACTGAACTAGTAACTGATATTATAAGCAGGGATAAGTTACATATTAATGCTATCTTGTTATACAAATTCTTCGAGGATGTTGTATTTGGAACTAAAACCAGTCTCTGATTACTCTTTAACTAACTTGAAAGCTTACTTAAAATTTAGAACATAAAACTGTGTCTCAGTGACACTTTTCTATTGTATAGCTTTTAAAGTATAGTTTCCCCCCAACCTCCCCAAATTATCTCATAAAACAGAAGTTAGTAGATCATCTTTTCAGCGTACCCTGTTGAAACTCTATACCGCTTCTAGATGAACACTGGACTATCGGAGTTAGAATTCGGGTAAATTATGAGCTAGCAGACCGAAATCCTACAAATCGTTGGCTACAAAAAAATGATCGCACGACTAGAAATTTTGCAGAAATAATCACCTGTGCATAAAACTCCAATCTAATCCACTGAAAGAGAGAAAAGCTCCATTTCTAAACTGTTTACATTTTTGTTTAAAGGAAGGAAATAATACCACCATACTATTCAGTTGCTGGATTATAACGTAGTCTTTCTGATAATAATAATAATAATGTGTGCAAATTTGTGTGTGTGTGCATTAGGATTAAGTATACAAAAGATCAAAATAAAGACAGGAAAGGACAATCATATCATGTACAAAAAATAGTTATGGCGGCAACACACAAGTAAAGTAATAATATTGTTGGCGATAGTAACAATAGGCGGAGGGGGCGGGGGGACAAAACATTTACAAAAGAAAATAAAAGACAATAACAGCACCATTACAATTACGTCATATCGTAGAAACGATTCTAGTAGAAGGAAGATAGAAAAAAGAAAAAGCGAAGAAGTATGCTGACTGTGGCGCGCACATACACACACCCCACCACAGAAGATAGGAAAGTAAAATATCAAATTTTTTTCTAAAAAAAGCATAAATTATTACCATCAAAAAAAGTGATATAATGAAGTTGTCTATGACCAATGAAAGCCCTGGTGATCATCTCAAGACACTTTTCATAGCTGCAGCAGCTTGTCTTCTTGTTGTAATAATAGGTTCAAAAGGCTAGCAGGTGGAGAAATATAAACAAAGCTTATTGTCAGTAGTGTCATATACATCATCTTGGAGCAATCATAATAAGATAACCATCAATAATAATAATATAGAAGCAGTATTCATCATGGACTGATATCAGCTGGGGAACCATTGAAAATCTGGGAGCACTGGACAGCCGCCTGTTTCACCCTAGTATGGGACTCCTCAACAGTAGGCACCCACGACTCGGCTAGTGATAGAACTCAGGGCCTTCAGGTTTTACGGCGAACGCGTTAACCGTTCAGCCACTGGGTTGGTCTTCAGTGGTTCACAATTTCCTGTGGGGTCAACCGGTCGGAAGTGAAGTGGACGCTAACTGAAGACCTTGGGTGACAGTCACGATATGTCATGAACTGACAGAAGTTGGAAATTGTGAACCACTGAAAACCGACTCAGTGGCTGAATGGTTAACGCCTTCGCCGTGAAAACTGAAGTTCATGAGTTCCATCCCTAGCCGGGTCGTGGGTGCCTACTGTTGAGGAGTCCCATACTAGGGTGAAACAGGCGGCTGTCCAGTGCTCCCAGATTTTCAATGGTTCCCCAACTGATGTCAGTCCATGGTGAATACTACTTCAAAATTAAAAATCTCCATTCATCTCAAAAATACAACAGTAGTAATAATAATAATGATAGTAAGCATAAATAACCTTATGATAGCATATAATATGAGTATATATACTGTTACAAGCGAAAACACAGTGGCTAGCTAGGAAAGCAACCGACCACTGCTTCAAAAAGCACACTTGGCTATGACGATAAATTCACGTTTACGAAACGATAAACTGTTGGGGTCGCCTACTATATCCATATATTTAAAAAAAATGATAATCAATATGATGCTCCCCCTCTTTAGTTCAGTTACAACATTTGGATTGAGATTAGAAGTTCTAACTAAGGACCCAGTGTGAGTACGATCAAGTGGAAGTAACGCATCCACGAATTTAAATGGCAGTTGAGCAAAACTCTCGGTGGTCAGCAGTTAGATCTCATAGCTCGCTTGAACATCGATCGGGCTGGTATCCCGATGTGGTTTCAATCATCGTTCAAGGCCATTCGCCTTCGGGGTAGAACATATTTTGCTCTTCAGAGGATTGGTGATCTAGTCGCTTCATTTTCCGAGTAGAAGCTGTACATAAAAACTGTTTTTTTGTCAAATAAGATCGTCTTCGTTAAATCACTCAGTGAGTCATAGGTCCGTTTTTTATCTGTTGATTTTCGCGGCTCAGTGAAGTATCAGGTGTGAGGGACAATAGTCACATTACTCGTATCCAGTCCAAGCTTCTCCTTACATTATTACCCGTTTCGCTTATTATTAAAACCCACGTCCTATTCCGACCCAGTCACATCAACATACTTACAGTTTAGGTATATTTGGACCATTTTACTTCGTGTTTTTTTTCCTGTGCATGGATCATATTTTGTATGACCTGCTAGGTTTCTGACTGGTTCCTGACCTCTAATTATTTCTTGTCTTTTGATTTCTCTTACGAATCACTTGGGTTGAAATCGTTTCAACCCATGACTATCAATCGTTAAGAATTTTCGTTTATCCTGGTAACTCCGCATTATAACACAAACATTCCAACACGCTTCAAAGCAGTGATCTTTTGAAGATATAAAATAATTTAATGCAACTCAACCTAGAAGAGATTTATGTATTGAATCAGCAAGATATAGTTATTGTGTAATAGCCTATGTTACTACCTGGTTTCTCAGGCTTAAGTATGTCCAATAAGAATGTGAACAGGTTGGGCGAAGGTCAAGTAGTCAATATCACTGAGTCACAACTCCAGTGATTCGTCGATACATGCTGAAGAAATGACCTCAAAAACACAAGTGTTAAGAGATGATTGCATAATGTAGAATAACATCGCTTTGAAAAACGATTCAGCATACTCCGAAACTATTGTTATGACACATTAATAATAATAATACTTTTTCACTAACCCACAAAACTACATTCTAAACATATCAACTTGCACTACGATTTCTTTATTTATAACAATTACCTAACAATAAAATATAGTAAATCACTGTGTCACGTTACTTCAATTTATGGTTTCACTGAGAAACTTAATCGATTATCTTTGGCTCAGTGCTAAAACACTAAAGATGATATAGTTAAATTAGTCAACCCAAAAGCAAGCAACCAGTGTAAGTAGTAAGGAAACGCTGGTATAGGCAATCAATAGAAAGCCATGTATTACTTACAGCGTAACAGGTCCGAGTTGCCACACCTCACATCACTACATTAAGTAAAAAGATACTGAAGTGGAAGATGAAAAAAAGGAAATCCAGTCAGAAGAAATATAAAGTACTAAAAGGGAGAAAGAAAGAATAAGAAAATGGTGTGATTCGGTATAGCGTCGTTAAGATGAGGATAATGTGTGTGTACATCTGTGCCAGTGACTTCGGTTCTGAGCCATATCGTCTAGAATCTCCAGCAGAGAGAGACCTATGCGAAATGAAACATCTTATGTCACTCATATCACATCTCAATTCCATACGTTCCATATCCGTGTAGCACGGTACAAACCCCAACTATCTTCAACACTCATATATATCATCATCATTCATGCTTTACTCCAACCCCCAACTTCACCACACACACACACACACACAAAACAAATCACACTATCCAACACAAAAGTCGACAAAAAGCAACAGAATGAAAACATAAAGGTTACACAAATAATTCAACACTTCGAAGATAACTAATTGACTATATGGACGGTTACTTCACGCTATTTTACTTACAGTATCCAACTAACTTCTAGTTCCTATCATTTCGACAACTCCAATGTGACAGCTTGAATCTGTCTAAATGGATCAAATAAACAGGTTCCATGCACTTATGTCGTGTTCTGGTTTGACTACCACCAGCATTCTCTTAACTCAACCACGTTTCGATAGGCATCCTTTTTCACGTAAACAGTGAATGGACTATGAAAAACATGTGTCTAAACAAACTCAACCTTATCGACTGACTCCCCATCCATACCTAACCTCAGCATTCCTCATAATGTGATTTTACTCATAACACGCAAGAAACACCAAGAGGATACCTATGGACGAAGTCCTGTTGTCTCATCATGTCTTCTACTTTTACGTTTTATCCTTTCTAACGAACCACGTACAACAAGATAGACGGAACTGTTGTACAGTCTACTTATCTACTATTACTTATCCAGATATCTCGCCGACGCTGGCAAATGCCATTTTGGACAGATTTTTGTATCCAACCTGAAATTCCATCAAAAACAAGCCCAGTCATCAACCCATAGCATCTTTTCATCATTAATCCTAAAACTAGAAAATGGTACAAATCAGTCTAGAAGAATACCCTTATATTTTATCATCATATGAGCACAACCACATTCCGAACATACTTAAATTTCTGCTGAAAGGGTTCACAAAATTTTGCACTTCAGGCAAGCGACGTCTCATTATCATTATCAAAATCATCATCGAAAACAACATACGACCAGGCATTATTACGTAAAGGTTCAAGTTGCCACACATGACGTCAGCACATCAAGTAAGAAGGCAAAAAAAAAATTGAAGATGAAGAAGGAAAGAAAAATCGGTCAAAGGAAGTGGAAGTAGTAAAAAGGAGAGACTAAGAAAAGCAGTTACAATGAGAATAATGTGGGTATACATCTGAGACGAGATAGACGGTGACTAGGCAAAGGTAACTCATGTCACAGCCATCTCAGTCCATAAAGGTTCACAACCACATCAATTGTCTTCTTTCTCCTGTCGATAACTTTACACCCTACTTCTAAGTTACTCATGTGGTGAAACTATGAAACATATCGTATCCTATGAAGGCAACGGTAATCAAACACTTGAAGCATTCTCATGTTTTCCACTTTCAATGCTCATGTTTCACAGACATAGAGTAAAACAAAGCAGATAACCAATCAATCAATCAATATCAACATAGGATCAGGCATTACTGAGTAACCGTCCAACTTGCCACACCTCATACCACTACATCAAGTAGAAAGTAGTCAGGTGAAGGATGAAGATAAGAAAATTCAGTCAAAAGAAGTATAAAGTACTAGAAGAAAGAAAGGAGGAACGACAAAATGGTGAGTCATGTGATCACCAACCACTGGTTACTCTTGTTCCGCAGACCTCATATGGCTCAAACCAACAGTCATACACTTCATACATTGGTGACATGTTTTAGTCTGGACACCTCGGGCCTTTTTCCAGCCTCCACATACTTCAGCAAAACATTGTGTGATGAGGCATACGTAGTACGTGTTCCAACCATCTCAATCGACGAAGGTTCATAACCTCGTCAACTGACATACCTCTACTCCTGACTTCTGCGTTACTCACTCACGTGGTGACACCACGGAATACGGCTTATACTACAAAGGCAACGGTGGTCAAACACTTGAAGCCTTCTTATATCTTCCACTTTCAATGGTCATGTTTCACAGCCATACAGTAGAACAAAGCAGACAATATTGGCCGAAATAGGTTGAGGTTGGGATAAAGGCTTATGATCATGGTCAGACTAAAACATGGCATTAATTGACCCTTTTTTCATGAGATACAGACACTAGGCTAGTTGTAATCCATGGGAGAAGAGAAATCAGTGGGGTGTTGAATGAATGAAAATTCATTAATTATCATGAAAACTAAATCTTCAAAGGAAAAAAGTGTGTTTTCAGCATGGTAATATGCTGTATCACCATTGCCCATAAACAAAGGAAAAATATACATTAAACTGGATAAAATAGGAAAAACGAGAGAGATTAATAAAAATTAAAAAAAAAACTTACCGATTTCTCTTCGGTTACATTTTGATTTTTTCGATATGAAACATCTTTTATATGTTGTAAAGATATTTTTGAATTGATTTCAATTAATGTATTAGTAGATTCAGATGTCTTAGGTATTTGATTTTCATCTGTTACAAAATTATTATTCTTTAAGTTATCATAATCTATATTAGTCTTTTCAATACTTTTATATTGATTATTTATAACAATAGATGATGATGATGTTGATGATGATGATGTACAATTTGTTGTTGTATAATTTTGATTAGAACAAGTTTTATCTAAATCTATTGATGTTTCATTCAATTTATCTTCATCATTAAGATTATAGTCAGGGTAAGGTAATTCAATTTCTTTACGAAAATTACATTTTATAGGATAAAGATTATAATTTACATTTGAAGAAAGATTAGTTGATTGATTGACAATATTTGATGAGATAGATGTCTTTACAAGAGGAGATGATGTTAAACTACCTGAATCATAGGATCGATTAGTTGAACTGTCTTGGGATAAGGGTTTTGATAGTCTACAACAAAAAGGTTTGTTTTTTTAGAAAACAAAAATAGTTTTTTTTAGATGATACGATGAAAATATATTCAAATAATATTATTATTTTTCCCTTAAGTGCTTAGTGGAACACAGGGCTTCAGCAGCACATCATCATTATCAACATAGCACCAGGCATTACTGAATAACCGTCCAACTTGTCACACCTCATATCACTACATCAAGTAGAAAGGTAGTCAGGTGAAGAATGAAGATAAGAGAATGCAGTCAAAAGAAATATAAGGTATGAGAAGAAAGAAAGGAAGGATGACAAAATGGTGAGATTCGGTAGACCGTCGTTAAGATGAGGATAATGTATGTGGACACATCTGCTCCAATGACATTCGTTCTGAGCCATGTGATCACCTAGAGTCTCTAACCACTGGTTACTCTTGTCCCGCCGACCCCAACCACCTAGTCTGCATCACCCACATGACTTAAGCCAACAGTCATACACTTCATGCATTGGTGACATGTTTTAATCTGGACACCTCGGGCCTTTTTCCAGCCTCGATCTACTTCAGCCAACATTGTGTGACGAGGCAATCGGCGACTAAGCATACGTAACACATGTCCCAACCATCTCAATCGATGAAGGTTGTTTACCTCGTCAACTGATTTACCTCTACTCCTGACTTCTGCGTTACTCACTTACGTGGTGACACCACGGAATATGGCTTATACTACGAAGGCAATGGTGGTCAAACACTACAAGCCTTCTTATATCTTCCATCTCCATTTCACTCAGTTCTCTGCAGTCTTTTCAACCTGGCTCCATGACTATCTCCCATAACTTTTCATTTCTTCGTCACACCATCTTCTTCATATCACCCCGTCGGATGCGCAACTCATCATTTCTCCTTTCTACCTGGCTGGCTGAATCTTGGTAAATGGAGCGGAGCTGGAACCCATAACCCATTTGGCTGTAAGTCAACTTGTTAAATTAATGATGAACCATAAACTCAATATACTATTATTTTCATTGCTATTTGACCCTTAATTCAGTCTTGCTACTTCACTTCTTTTCATAATCTCATCCCATTATCTCTTTATGAACTACCTATGACAAGTATGTGATGCGCGAATACATTGTATGGTTAAGACAATTTTGCGTCTTCTTATTGTATTGTTGACAAACGGAACTAGTTGTTTTACAAATCATTATTATTTCAGCTATTAAAGGAAATCAGGGAAATTCAGGTAGGTGTTGTTTAGTATCCTAAGACTGTACAGTCACGTACGCCTTTCTCATACAGCTAAGCCAAACAAAAGTAGGTTGTAAGGTTTAGACATCCACCGAAACCAGCTTGCTATTATTTTTCCCTTGGGTTATCGTGGAACATACGACTTCAGTAGCACGTTACCATTTCATTCTCTTCTCTACGGTTTTTTCAACCTGGCTCCACGACTCCCCATAACTTTACATTTTTTTCCTCACACGATCTCCTCCATGTCACTCTCGCCTCGGATGCCCAACTCGTCATTTCCCTCTAGGGTTCCACTCGAGCGCCTGGCATGGGGCGTGATGTCCCAAAATGGTCTTCTCACTGCATGCCGATCCATCTCCACTTCCTTCCACTGCATATTTGTTGCGCGATAGCTTCTTGGTTGGTCCGTTAACACCCATAGTTCCTTATTGCTTATTCTTTCTGACCATCTGATCTGATCTTCAGTATCGAGCGTAGGCAGCTGTTGATGAATCTCTGCAGTTTTTTGAAAATGCTTTTGTAACGCGCCAAGTCTCTTAACCATCACATAGAAGCACTGACTTGCTTGTTCACGCTTTATGCTCAGTGGAGTGAATCTCCACACTGATTTTGAGGTTAATGAAGGCCTGTTTTTCTTTTCTGATTCTGGTCATGATGTCTTTACCTGTGTCACCTGTAGTTGAGACGATGCTGCCTAGGTAGGTGAAAGAGACTACTTCTTTAAGGTTTCACACGTTCGTGGTACTGACATAAGTAACAACCTCTGGAATATGAATAATTGTGTTTAGGTCAAAGAAAACGCGTATGAATTACACACACCTTATGACAATTCTAATATATATCGTGTGAACTTGAAGGACACCCTAACAGCGATTGAAATAACCAATTAAGCTTTGTAGTCTAAGCAAAAATTAACCTTCAAGGTGAAACCAATGAACCGAATTGTTAATTTCAGCCACTTTGTCCAATTGGGGGGAAAAACACGCAGCTCTCAAAGTGCAAGACTCCTTGCTGAACAAGTTGACTAGTTCAATAGACAGGGAAATAAACAACTGATGGAAAATTTGTAAGAATATGATAATATTCTCATAGAATCACATAAGTACTGAATAAAAAAATAATTACATACTATAATGATAAATCCACTGGAACTTACACACGAAGTTGTGATTCAATATATTTACTATAATCTAAGTTGGAACCACTTTATTACGAAGTAACTTTCGACGCCATTTAAGGACAGGACAACGAGATCTTGCACAAGCACAATCTAAAGGATAACGACATGCTCGATAGTCTAAATCGAAAGGGATAGTCAACTCAGTACCAGGCATTACTTCCATGATGTACGTATTACAATTTGAAGTTTGCTTTGTACAACATAGTGTTCAAGCTAGAAATCGGATAATAATAATTTCAAAAAAAAAAAAAAAAACAGTGTGAAAACAAAGTTTAAGTGAACTTTACACATTCAAATTCACGAGATATAAAATACGGTAGACCAAAAGAAATGTATGATAAAAACAGAGTTTGAAGTGAATACGTGTTTTCGGTAAATTTTTTTATCAGGCTTTACAATTTACACAGTAGTCGATGGTTCGAATCCGACTGCGATCTAAACTTTCATTTCACCTTCAATCATCACACAGCAATCAATACTAGTCTGCCAAACCGTAGCAGATAGTCAAAATGATAACTTACAATAAAAAAAATAATAACTCAGAATAGTCTTCATTTGTTATCAAAAGGATTAAATTCCATCCATCCATACATCCAGATCAATCTAGGACCAGGCATTACTGCGTAACGGTCCGACCGATAGCTGCTACCTTGACGTGGTGTGGTTGAGCTTGCATACCACAATGACCCAACGAGCTATCCTGGTGAAACACTTGTTCCCTTGAGATCCTACCATACCAGAAAGGTCTGTTGGATAGTGGTTAGATGAAAAGCAGTTACTATTGTGGTGTAAATTACTACACTATGATGGGGGTCTGAGGGCGAAGTCGTACTGCTGCTAGCTGGATGGGGTGTGACAACAGTAAGGTGTTTCCAGTGGATGACCAGCAGTGTCATGCTGATGCTGCTTTCTCAGTGGAACGGGGGGGGGGTTAGAAAAGATCGGCCCCAAAAATAACACTCCACTATGTCCCACGGTCTGCCGGGCCGGTGGTTTTGGTTCATCTGTCGTTTCCTTTCGACCATCCGGCCCCAAAAATACAAAAGTTCAAAATAATCAAACACAAAAGGCTATATGTGACAGGCCACAAGCAGATGTCCGATGGGCTATATGCTCACACAAATCTCTTTTAGGTACTTTAAGAAGAAATAGCCTTCCATAGTGTGAGCAGCCGGGAAGTACCAATCACCATCACAACTCTGTCAGCACTCAATATGATTAAATTAGTTTGGTTGAAGGATAGACTCGTGAATCTGGCCACATCTATGTACATTGATCAACTCAACTTCGCTTCAATGAACACTGTTTAGCTTAGTTAGGCAAAGGAATAGTGAAATTCATCAAAAATCCAATATAAACTAACCCATCTAGTTGATACTGAGTATAAGATTGACAAAACCTTAGAATTTACTATTGTTTAACTAAATGCTATTAAAATACTCTAAGTTTTTGTGTCTCTGATTGGCAAAACTATATCATAAGCTATAACAATTAACATTTTAAAACCTAATTTTTGTATTCAGAAGATGCTTAATCGTTTCTTTTCACTCTCATGGCCTTCAACCTAGACACAATTACAATAATTACCATCCAAGTCACTCAGATAAATGTAAATATTATCTCTGTTTGTACTCTTATCATTGTTATTTTGTTATGTAATCACTACGCGACAGTAACTTTATTCCCCTCTATCGCTGCATATATATATACATATATATACTGCATAGTTGACTCATTCTAGTACCAGACTCCTTAGTAGTGTTTACTCGTGATCCAGCTCGCCATGAATCGAACCCAAGACCTTCAGGTTACACAGCCAGCATGTTACCATTGAGCCAATGGGTTCGGACTCAGGATTTCATATTTCCTACTGCTGTCAGTTCACTATATAGCGCGATCTCCATCCAATGCCGTCGTTGAGTAACTGTCCTCACGTTCGACTTTATTATTATCGTCTTTATTGTTATCTTCTGGTTCATATTATGTTATTATATATATTATTTGTCCCTTGGGTTCCTAGTGGAACATAGGGTTTCACTAGCATGTCTTCATTCCACTCTGTTCTCTGAAACCTTTTCAACCTGGCTTCACGACAGCCCACAAGCTGTCATTTCTTCTTCACACCATCTCCTCCATGTCACTCTCGCCTCGCACGCCCAACTCGTCGCTTCCCATCTGGATTCCACTCGAGTGTCTGGAGTGACGCGTGATGTCCCCAGTCGGCCATCTCAGTGTAAGCCCAATCTAATCCATCTCCACTTCCTTCCAGTGCATATTTGTTGAGTGATAGGTTCTTGCTTCGTTGGTTCGTTGACAGCCAGCTAGAGTTCTTTGTTTCTTATTCTTATTATTTTGGCCATCTGATCTTCAGTATCCAACCAGAGTAGGCAGTTATTGATGAATGTGTGTAGTTTGTTGGAAATCCCTTTCGTAACGCGTCAAGTTTCTGAACCATATAGGAGCACTGACGTGACGTTGGTGTCAAAAATCCGGATATTGTTCCCGCGTTATGCTGAGTGCATCTAGTTCAATATACCCGAATTAATTTAACCATGTTAACATCAAATGAAGACTATGTTGAATAATTTGTAAATGTATTCATAAAACCTGGCTAGAATTTATCATAAGTACATATTCGCTTCAAACTCTGAAAGTCAAAATACTGATTACCAATATAATAACCTCGCTTTATCATATCTATAAAATGATGTCAGGGTCACTTGCTTATGAAAGGTTATATCAGCTGTACCAAAAAACACTAGACCATGGCAAAGTAATATGCTATATCATTTCACTGTTTAGTCATGTTGACTCTATGAAGAGGAAGGATGTATTAGTTTATGAGTAACTCTACACGTCACAGTAGCAACCACTAAAATAGCCAGTTATTTTCGATTAGTTCAGCTGAAAAAGTAATAAACCCCTCCCCCCACCCCGACATGAAAAACTAAACCTAATTGGTTATTTCAGTAACCTTCAAGGTGACCATATATCAGATGTTTGAGAAATTCTATTAACTATACAACAACCAAAGTAGAAGAAACGAGGCTTAAATTCTCATAATAGATTACCGTTATAAGGTTTCTTCAATATAATGACAAAGCTAGAAGTATGATACCAGGTCAATTGATGGAACTATAAAGCTTCATCGTCTAATATGGCTGTGACTGATGCTGTGCATGCCTAACTCGATGTACGTTATTATCCAAAGTACGAATTGAAGTAGCCATAAAGTCTACAAATGTTAGTGTGAACAATGTAGGGAAGGAGAATCACCACTACCTTTTATGGTGTTGTGGCAAGCTGAAGTGATGCACTTTTCAGTCAGATTCTATGTTGATTTATAAGTCAATCTTGTTGCCTACACTCTTAATTACTTCAAAATACATAAACAAGGGAGTGTATAAACTAACTAGGATGAATTGGATAAAAATGACCACAAACTCGGTATCATCATTTCGCTGCGATTGAGAATGCAGCAAAAATAGTAGTTGGAAAAGTAAAAATTAAGCAGAAGGAGATAAACAAACAGTGATTACAACGTCAATGATAAAGACACACTTTAAAGTAAGCGGATTGTATGTGATAAAATTGTTTTCACAAACAAACAGTGAAAATGAAAAGCTGATACATAAAACCAAATATCGACTATAATTTCATTCAGAATGGCTTACTCTACAATTTGGAATACATGAACGTCGAACAAATCGTGCACTATTCCCATATTGACTAGCATCGACAACAACCACGCGATCACCGAATGCTCGATAGAACATAACATAACGATTGTAACTGTATAAGGAGAAGAAAATCAAGAATAATAGTAACATACGAGCATGCAGAACTAACTAACTAACTAACTAACTAACTAACTAACTAACTAACTAACTAACTAACTAACTAACTAACTAACTAACTAACTAACTAACTAACTAACTAACTAACTAACTAACTAACTAACTAACTAACTAACTAACTAACTAACTAACTAACTAACTAACTAACTAACTAACTAACTAACTAACTAACTAACTAACTAACTAACTAACTAACTAACTAACTAACTAACTAACTAACTAACTAACTAACTAACTAACTAACTAACTAACTAACTAACTAACTAACTAACTAACTAACTAACTAACTAACTAACTAACTAACTAACTAACTAACTAACTAACTAACTAACTAACTAACTAACTAACTAACTAACTAACTAACTAACTAACTAACTAACTAACTAACTAACTAACTAACTAACTAACTAACTAACTAACTAACTAACTAACTAACTAACTAACTAACTAACTAACTAACTAACTAATTCAAAGTAAACAAGGAAATGTGCAACAAACGTTTTACCAGTCAAACAAAACAAGAATAACTTTACGAATTAATATACCTAAAAGTGCTCTGGATGACAAAAAGCTATAAAAGGTGGGGAAAAGAAATCAAACAATAACAAGAAAAAAACATGAAAATAAGAGTAAAACTTGAGCACTGTGATCGAGTGCAATTCCCTTTTAGTCTGTTTATTAGAAATATCACATACAGTGATGGGACAGTGTAGTATTTACTGGATAACAACGTTTCGGCCATAATTTATTATCCATATTCATATCAGGTAACTAACTGCACAACTTCAAGACAGTCTTTATATATTCCTACTACCCTTATCATCACAGAGAAGGAGAGAAAACTATATATATATATATATATTATATATGAAGTATGTCTCGAAGTTGTGCAGTTAGTTACCTGATATGAATATGGATAATAAATTATGTCCGAAATGTTATTATCCAGTAAATGTTACTGTTCCCTAACTGTATGTGATATTTCTAATAAACAGACTAAAATGGAAAAACAAAACAACATGAGCATATTTATACAAAGAAATGTGCAGTGTATATGATAAATAACTATGAACTATTTTCAAATGAATGACATACTCAGAAACAGGATCCACATAATGTTCATATTCTTCCATGAGTAAAAAATGACCACGAACTTCAGTTACAACTTCATTTGGCGCTAATCTAATGGATGCTTCTAAACCCTAAGAAGAAAATTTTTAAAAAAAATGTTACACCATAAGGTATGCAATAGAAGGCTTGTATACTTTATACTTCATACTTTAGGATTCAAAAGTGAGACCGGAACAGGCAGGCTTCAGGAAGTACAAATCATGTGCAGACCAAATTGCAACGCTTCGCATCATCAGAGAACACAGTATAGAATGGCAGTCAACTCAACTCTACCTCAACTTCATCGACTTTGAGAAGGCCTTTGATAGCGTCCACCGAGAAGTAATTTGGAAACTGCTTCAATACTACGGAGTACCGCAAACCTTTATCAGCCTCATTCAACAACTATATGAAGGTGCCACATGCCAAGTAATTCACAATGGGAAGCTCAGTGATGCTTTTCAAGTGAAGACAGGAGTGAAACAAGGTTGCCTACTAACACCATGATATTCCTGATTGTGGTCAACTGGATCATGCAGCAAACAGTGGGGAGCGAGAACAGAGGGATACGCTGGCTGGACTGCAGAAAAGGACCTAGAAGATCTGGATTTCGCCTGTGATGACTTGTGTCTGATGTCACACAAACTTGAAGATCTACAGGCGAAAACTAACAAAATGGCAGAAGAGGCAGGGCAGCGAAGACGGGACTTCAAGTGAATATACAGAAGTGATGAAGATACCACACCACCACCAACAACAAACTCCAGTCACCATCAATGGGAGAAACTTAAAGGAAGTAACCTCCTTCACCTATCTAGGAAGCACTGTTTCAACTACAGGCAGCGGTGGCAGAGATGAGGATGTCAAAGTCAGAATCGGAAAAGCAAGACAGGTGTTCATTAGCCTGAAACCAGTGTGGAGATCCACTTCGCTGCACTCAGCATGTGGAACAACATCCGCATTTTCAACACCAACCCAGTCAAGTCAGTGCTTCTGTGTGATGGTTCAGAGACTTGGCGCGTCACGAAAGTGATTTCCAATAAACTACAGACATTCATCAACAACTGCTTACGCTGGCTCGCTACTGAAGATCAGATGGCCAGAAACAATAGGCAACAAGGAGCTCTAGGAACGAACCAACCAAGAACCTATCACCCAACAAATATGGACTGGATGGAAGTTGAGATGGATTGTGCATACACTGAGAAGGCCGACTGGGAAATCACGCGTCAGGCCAGTTGCTCGAGTGGAATCCCCATGGGAAGCGACGAGTTGGGCATCCTAGGTGAGGGTGACATGAAGGAGATCGTGCGAGGAGGAAACTAGAGGTTTGGGCTGTGGAGCCAGGTTGAAAAGATTTCAGAGAACAGAGGTCACTGGAGACATGCTACTGAAGCCCCCAAGGGACTAATAATAATAATAATAACAATAAAGTATACAATGGTTAAACATGATTCATTCACTGATAAGATTAAAAACAATATAAATCGAGGTATATACAAAACACTCAATAATGAAATATCCCTGATCAAATGCTATTCAATAAGTATAACATGAAGTTTTATTTCGCAACAAAATACCTCCCTTCAAATTACAGAAAATAATAAGCTTTTATAGGATCGAAAAAGGAAAGAGACGACTGAGTCAGTGCAAGTACACATAGTTGACGAGTCCCATCTAGAACGAAACGCACGTCTTGGATTCCACTGAGAGTCATATGAATGAATAAACAACAGAATATCTAGCAGTATCAAGATATCCGCATAAGAGTTCATCTGCCAACAGAGGTTGAGCAATTCAACTCTGTGTATACAAAGAGGAAATCACTGGTACCAAACAACAAATGATACTGGTTGCACAAGTGCTAGCTCTGGTTGGATACTGAAGATCAGATGGCCAAAATAATAAGAATAAGAAACAAAGAACTCTGGCTGCCTAGCAACGAAGCAAGAACCTATCACTCAACAAATATGCACTGGAAGGAAGTGGAGATGGATTGGATTGAGCATACACTGAGAAGACCGACTGGGGACATAACGCGTCATCCCAGGCACTCGAGTGGAACCCAGATAGAGAACTGCGAGTTGGACGTCCGAGGGTGACATGCAGGAGATCGTGCGAAGAGGAAATGAGAGCTTCTAGGCTGTCGTGGAGCCAGGTTGAAAAAAGATTTCAGAGAACAGAGTGGAATGAAGACATGCTACTGAAACCCTATGTTCCAGTAGTAGCCCAAGGGACACATAATAATATACAAATGAAAGGCAATTGTGATGACAGGATACTTTGAGAAACAGTTCAAATAGAGTTAAGCTGGACTTCAGCTGTCAACTACTCAGTTGAACGGAACACCAGTAGCCAGGCGATAACGCATATCGTAGTTTAGACAACTAAACCCAGAATTAATCAAGAATGGTCATCAGGAAGTGGAGGTTAGGCAAAGAGAGGTAAGCCAGATTGTTACAATCGGACAGAAAATCACTTCGTTGGTATTCGCGATTGATTTTTGCAGTGTATACATAGAAAAAGGAAATTTTTTGGTATGATAATGAGAAAGGATTTACTTTCAATTTTCGAATGGTAGTTGAAGATCAATTAAACGGTTCATCGAAATCTTTCACCCATTTTTCGTTCCACTCTCATCTGTTCTATGAGTGAATCGTAAACTTCTACTTCTCCATGACAGCTTCACTAGGCATTCACAATTTCCTCTTAGTTTTACTACTACCCTCTACATTTTCTCAGCCTTCATATCACACAAGTGTTCCCAGTTGTCACATTGACGTTTTTTTCGGTCTACATTTGAGTTCTTTCCACTTTTCAGTGCTCGAAGCTTGCACAGATGCGTTCTTGTGATTCGATTAATTCAGAAAAAGCTGCTGATTTCTACTGGCATTTTTTTAACAGCTCCTGACAGTCAGCTATGGTCTTCAGTGCTCTTTCTACACTAGACTGGAGATGGTGATGAGCTTCTTTTGGATTAGTGATGCTGTTATTTTATGATAACTATCTAGTCAGTCTCTGATTGAAAGCAGCCTTATTGTCTTAAACGTCTAATTGCCCTCTTAATGATCTTATTGCTGTAGTTTTTCTAGGTTCATTCATGAACTGGAACAAACTTGGTTGAATAAACAAGCATTCACTGACAAAATATATGTACTCTGGAAGGCGTGGCAATTTTCTACCCGCATCCTACAGTGATAACTAACAGGAATACGGTCTATATCAACTGTTGACTTAAGGTCGGTCGACGCTACGTCCAATAATGACACTAGATCTTTTTTGGATTTCCTGTAATAATAGAAATTATACTGAGAAAATTAATTTGTACAGTGGTAAATCATGTATAAAAGCACCATATGGAAAGCTGTAGTGTATCCGAATTTTATAGTCAAAGGTCGAGTCTCAATACAATACAGAATCAAATCAAGTGAATTCTCTTTCAGAAAGATAACAATAATTGATGAATAGTTTTTCGATACTAATTAGGCTATTATAGTATGCATCGATTAACAGGCTAAACAAACAAATAACACTTTTTTTTTAACAGTTAACTACCGAAAGTAGATTATTCCCTTTAGATAAACAGTTGCGATGTAATGAGCTTTCTATATACTCTATTCATAATGAAGGAATGACTAAGAATTCACTATGATTTTTCAAAACGATGTTTAGTTGAATAACCAAAATAAATTTTGTTTTCAAAAGAGTAAAGATATAAACTGAGTTGCTTACCTTATCATTATGGTCGAAGAGAACTACACGACAGAGTGAACTTCGAGTTAAACATGTTGGGGGGATTTTATGATTCCGTTCAACATTAGTAGATCTATAAGTAAAAGATATGGTATCACTATTATTATTAGTAGAACACAAATATGATACGTCACAGGCACTAAAAAATGCGCCACACAAAATACTATAACAACATTATGAAGACGTAAAGCGAAGGGAAGTGGATAAGTAGAAAAGAAAACAATAAGAAAGACAGTTCAGTAAGATACATTCAAAACAAACCACTCATTACTTTTAAGTAGTAGGAGAAAGAAGGAACCTACAGTCATATCTGATAACCTCCCAAGTCAGTGAGTTCACTGATCTCTCAAATACCAACAGATGCTAACCCGATACAACTATCCTTCATCCCACGACGCCACGTCATACATTCTTCACCCCTCTGCTTTCTCCATCCAGTCACACGGTTTATAAATAATGAACAGTATGGAAGTCGTTAGGACGACATACGTCATGCGACATGCGGCATATCCAAGCCACCGAAGTCCATGTTTCTAGATGACTTCACTCATTAACTGACATTCTTCATCATCATCCCCAAACACACGCTGTAGTACCTCACAATTACTTACATGGTGTTTCCATTGGATATGAACAATCCTACAGAGACAACGATAATCGAACACACAGAATTGTCGTATATCCACAGTTTAGAGAGACCAAGTTTCACAGGCATAGAGCAGAACTGCTTGCATCGAAGTGTTGTATACTCAACTTTTCCGGTCAGACTAACGTGGTGACGGCGATCACGTATGCCATTCTGACTTTCGATATACAGTTGAAAATTTCATCATTCACACCTCCACCAGTATTCATTCATACAACTTACCCAGATACACAAACTTTTTGACTACTTCCAATGGTGGGAGAGGCTCCTTCCAATCTTGCAAAAGTATTTTGCACTTAAGTATTGTAAAGTATATACCATACTTAGAAACACGAATTGCCAACTGATTAAGTATGACTTGAGTAGCCAGTGTGTTATGGCAGGTTGAGATCGAAAGTAGTTAAAGCGGCTGGAACTAGAAGGTAGCGTTCTAAAAGAGATAACCACCTTAGCAACTACCAAAAGAAACGATATGCTTATATAAATATGTAAATTCTTGAGAAACTAATAGACATTTTTAAGGCTTCACTAGCATGGGAATGAAATAAAGTGAAATCAAGTTGAAATTTAATTTTTTTTTAAAATAGTTCATGCAGAAACTCGCATTAAAGCGTTCAAGTCAAAGTAATTAATGATGAAAAACATATGGGAGATATGCCAATTTTTCAGGTACACTCGCCTCACGAAAATAGGAGCAATAAGGCAGTAAAAATGAGACATATAGAATCAATGTAGAACCTCCAACACGAGTGCATCGGTTGAACTCGCTATACTTCACAGTGGATAGAAATCTGCACCATTCTGACCAGTTTTAAGCCATTTCATCAAGAGTCCTCACAATCACTGATTTCTATCATTTTGGGGACCTATATCAGGTAGTCTACATCTCCTCACACAACTCAGACTGACAATAAGAGGACTTCATAGACTAGTACCAGGTCTCGGTCTGGTGTCACCCTGAACTCTCATCTAATCTAATCTAACTTTCCTCTAGCATCGTAGTACATTGAGGTAGGTGGTGACTCAGCATACGCAACACATGTCAAAGCTACCTAAGTCAATGGAAGTTCACAACCTCATCAACCAACTTGCCTGTCTGACTTTAATATTGTTTACGCAATGACTCCGACAAACACGAGCAATGCTACAAAGACACCTATGAACAAAATCCTGTAATCGTTCGATGTCTTCTACGTTTAACGGCCATATCTTACAGCCGTACAACAGGAGAGAACGAACTGTAGCTCAGTGTACGCGTCACCGGCGCCACAAATAACGCAAGTTCATAGATGCCAAACGGGAATCAAAAGTAAACGAACATAGAAATAAGATACTGAAACATAGTGATCAGCTTTTAATCCTATTACTCACGATCTGTAACAAATAACTCCTAACATCCTAGGAAAAACCAGACAGTTTTAACCACTTTACATGACTCGAACGAACAGTTAATGATGATAGTTACATGAATCGCCTTTGGCAGAGCATGGGTTTGAAATCGTGAACAAGCATTCAAAAAAGAAGCACTTGCAATCCGTCATTCTACCTATAAATTCAGTTTTCGGTCGTTCGTTCGAACTTGTTCTTACTTCTAAGTGAACTATTAGCGTGCGCGCGAGCACACACACACACACACCAGAGATAGTAATGACTCTTTTGACATTGTTACTAACCGCTATTGTAGTCTTAATTTGTGAACCAGTTGCTCTCTGAATCCCATAGGTAATTACAGACACACAAATTGGTCAACGCAGAACTTGACTTAGAAGTGCATAAGTTCAATATTTGCCATAACAGCATAAAAGGAAGTAAAAAAAATTGATATTAGGATGAGGGAAAGTGCATGAGACAAGCAAGATTAAATAAATTGAAGATGAATGACAATATTCAGGACTTCGAAGATGACAAAGGATGCATATATCTGAGTCATGATGACTTATTTTACTCAATTTAACAGGGTTTTCTGACCACTGATAATCAACTTTTAGAAAACCTCAACTAGATGGTCTGACTCCCCCAGACTAACAGTTAGAAACTCCGTAGCTACTCATAGTCTTCCAACCAAGTCTTACTTTAGGTAAAAACACTCATCGAGTTAGAATGTCCCTTGACATGCGCAACATCTGTTAGAGTCACTTCAATCAGTGATGCTTTACAACCTCATCGACTGACAAATATCCTATGTCTAACTCAGGCATCATACACACAGGGATTACATCACACGTGCACAATACTGCAATAAGACATGTCGTCGAAAACCTAAAATGTCTTCACATAATAGCTTCTCAACAGCTGTATGATAGGATGGAGAGAATCATAACGCTGTATACCTGTCACTCAGTAGGCAGTCAGATATTTCACTCATGTGAGAGTAAATTAGTAAATGCAAACCAGACCCTTGTGAATACAACCTGAAGCAATCAGCTCATTCTGAAACATACAACTGGAGTAAGTGAAGTGGTTGATGCATTTAACCGCTTAACTCTGTATTCTTAAACAAACTGCTGTACATTAATCCTGAGGTATCATCTTAGACTTGATATATGTAAAACTCTTTACAAAAAAAAAATCAGATTTCTGATCAATTCCTGTTACTGGGTAACAAACCCACAACACCTCATACAACAATATTAAGATAGATTATGTAAAAATGAACAATAGAAAATCAGGGAAGAAAGTCGCCAACAGCAGCACAAAATAGTAAAAGGAAACAAGGAACACAACAGTATTGGAATGAGTATGACGATTAAGATGAAGAAAATGAACCATCAAGGTCGGTTTTCGGTTATATCACCTAGTTTACAACAATCAATTTCTATCGTTAGGAGGGACCCTAACCAGAAAGTCTGTATTTCCCCCCTACAGTTCAGACAAACAAAGAGACTTTACGGATTGATAGCATGTTTTAATCTGGCCACTTTCAACCTGTTTTCAGCTAGAACTTAACTGAACTCGTGAAACGGAGCAGAAGGTGACTAAGTATGCATATAACACATTTTCTAGTAAGCTAAGTGTCAAAGGTTTACATCTTCATCAAGTGACTTTAATCTCCTGAAGTTTATGTGTACCCAAGCTCAACTAAAAGTCGTTCGAGGAGTATTTCAATCTAAACATATATTTGTTAGCTAGTCTCTAGCAAAGTTGAACAGTAAATGGTGATAGCGGACATCACTAGTTATTGTTACTACAGACAGCAACTCTCTATAGACCTTTACTTGAATATGTGAGTTCCAGAAGAACGCCTTGGTTAGCATACCATACTTGCACGGTACTGCCTATACAGCCAGACATTTCCATAACACTTTTCGTCATCCAAACTACAGTTGGTGAGTGTGTAGGCAGAGATTAAGAATAGACATCAAGAGTCTCACGATCCGTCCTAGTTTTTACAGATCCATTCATTCGAACAGCATAGAAAAGGTCGTTGACTGGTATGCAGTCGAGAAGTGCGCTTTCTGCTTTCCAAACTTAGTGTTATACCTACACCAGACAGTCCACGATAGCTAGCCATCGGGTCTCTGTAAACTAGTAAGGTGAATTTTGAAGATTCGCGAATATAGGCAGCTGAGATAAATTTGATAACCACACTCGTGTCCTGTATACGTACCTCAGAGACACAGCATGCATTCATGGCTACAGATTCCAGAGTTCCGGTCAGCGATGCTTGCTATCCGATTCGGCGTAGAGTTTGGACGTTGAAAGCTCCTACATGAAATCAATGATAGGGTCTTAGGAGATTAGGAATGAGGTTTCAACAGCTTCGATAGTTGACAATGGCTCCAGAGTGAGAAGTTGGGTTAGACGAAAGAGGCTTAATATTAGTGTCAGGAGGTGAAGGCAAAAAAGGAGACAGAACTGAGGAGGTTAGGTCATGTTTGACTGCGTCTTGTGTACTACTGGAAGCGTACGGGTGATCGACATTTCCCAACTGCCTAAACCATGGAGCTTGATGATAATGATTTTTCACTCACTCACTCACTCACTCACTCACTCACTCACTCACTCACTCACTCACTCACTCACTCACTCACTCACTCACTCACTCACTCACTCACTCACTCACTCACTCACTCACTCACTCACTCACTCACTCACTCACTCACTCACTCACTCACTCACTCACTCACTCACTCACTCACTCACTCACTCACTCATTCACTCACTCACTCTAGGCTCAACATAGGACTAGGCAATACTTTACAACGGTCCAGGCTGCTACACCTCATATTAGCAAATACAACGAGTAACAAAGTGGTAAGAAGAAAGATGAAGAAAGAGAAAAATCGGCCAAAAACAGTACAAAGTAGTAAAAGAGAGGAAGGAAGAATGAGAAAATGGTGATACTATGTTGAGCTCGGTGAATACCACGTCAAACAATGTCCATTTTAATGTCTGAAGTTCGCAGCGGCTATAAGCGAATGGCTGTCTGAGCACGGTTGTAGCAGGCGATAATTCTTATCTATTCGTTCTGTGGGGAATCCAAAGGTACTAGTTGAATGCTTTTCTGTCCGATAACCTACACAAATTGTGAAGTGAAATTACCTGAGACAACTACCATATCTAAGCTCTTGGTTTTCATCGAAACGTTAACCTATATTCAAAGGTTAGCAAACTTCAATGGATTTCCCTGCAATCTTATCCGAAATGATAGATACGAGAAGGCTCATTGCATTATACCCTAAACAAAATAAGAAGTGAAAAATAGTTCAAACGTAAACTGACTGAGAGTGTTTGCAATGATTGTAAGCAGTGAGAAGTAATGAAAATGAAAGCGATGGAGAAGATTTAAGCATTAGGTTTTACTCAACAACTATTTTGACTTATTAAGGGATACTACTAGTAACAAGCGATGATCAGTGATTGGACAGCAATTATTGGTTATCTTGTCACATAATCAGCCTTTTCTAAATTATCCCATGAATTGATTTGATAGTAGATAGTCTTTGTCTATTTTGAAACTCAGTGAACTATAGATTATACTTGCACTTACTGAGATTAACTGACTTTCTTGTAAAATGCTTACTAAGATTAACAAAGACTATTTCGTTAGAATCATTATATGATAAAAATGTACTGTGTTTATTGAAAGTTGATCAAATGATTCTGGAACGTAAATAATCTCATATATATAAGACATAAAGTGAACAACCAAGAAATTAAAGAGATCCATTCAATGATTATGCATACGTTGGATTTCGAAGATAATTTATGTTCACTGTCGCACAAACTCGAAGACTTACAGGCAAAAACTACCGAACTGACAGAAGAGGCAGGGCAGCGAAGACGGGACTTCAAGTGAATGTAGGGAAGATGGAAGTGATGAAGATACCCAACCAGCAACAACAACAACAACAACATGAACAACAAGCACCAATCACCATCAACCGGAAAAACCTAAAGGAAGTAGTCTCTTTGACCTACCCAGGCGAGGCAGCATCGTTTCAACTACAGGTGGCACAGGCACAGACGAGGACGTCAACGCCAGCCAGACAGGATCGGAAAGACAGCAAGACAGGCGTTCATTAGCCTGAAACCAGTGTGAAGATCTTCTGCACTCAGCATAGAGCGTGAACAACATCCGTATTTTCAACACTAAGTCAGTCAAGTCAGTGCTGCTATGTGGTTCGGAGACTTGGCGTGTCATGAAAAGCATTTCCAACAAAACTACAGACATTCATGAACAGCTGCCTACGTTGGCTGGATACTGAAGATCAGATGGACGATCACAATGATAAGAATCACCAAAGAGGAACTATAACTGGCTGGCAATGAGCCAACGAAGAACCAATCACTCAACAAATATGCAGAGGAAGAAAGTGGAGACGGATTGGGCATACACTGAGAAGATCGACTGGGGACATCAGAAGCCAGGTCAGGTCGTCAAGTGGGATCCAAAAGGGGGAAACGATAAGTTGGGCGTCCTAGCTGTGGGTGACATAGAAGAGATCACATGAGGAAGAAATGAAAGCTTGTAGGCAGTCTTGGCACCAGGTTTTGAAGACTGCAGAGAACAGAGTGCAATCGAGGTGTGCTACTGAAGCCCTATGTTCCACTAGGAACCCAAGAGAAAAATAATAACAATAATTCAATGATTATCAAAATTATAGATACTTGGTGTTTTGGTCAGAATCTTGTGCTGAGTTCTACTACTACTGTAAAAAGTTATGCACAGAAGGTGAATTATCAGTTTGTTTTGTCAATCACCTGATTATATATAATGTTGAGCAAATGACGATCGATTTATTGGTGAATGTGACATGATTACAATACCTGATATGTTTGTACAATATTTACATAATGATTTGGAGAGACATATTAGTAGTAGTAAGTCTGTGAAAGGGAATCCCGTTGATTTTCAGAGTTATCAGACAATGATCGATTTCTGATAAAATCGGATTTCGCTATATGGTTTACAAGGAAGTCAAACTATAGTGAAATTATCATCTTAAGATGTTGAGCAGCTACTTAGTCAGCTGATTGCAGAACGAAACGAAACCCACTTAGGAATCAACATACACATTTACGCAGTGCGCAATGAGCAACACACCTAGTGTGTAAGGGTTAGCGATACAACGTAGCTGTTCAAACTTCATCAGGTAGAGCGGGGTTCGAACACATGACCTATTTGGTTGATAGTCACCTCCTTAAACTAACGAACCACAATTCATACAGAGTAATGATATCATGCACATTAACACATACCAATGAACTTACATTCTATTATTTACACGTTCTAGTAGAGCTTTAGTATATACATTGCTCTCAGCTTCTTGATAATCTTTTGCCCATGCTGCTCCAAGAGGGTTGGTTCGAGCATCAAAACGACGTTTATTTGAAACGGAACTATCAGAAAACAGTACTCTTCTGAAGAAAGAAAAAAAGAAAAAAATAGTGGAATCAATAAGAAGTGAATGAGTGAATAAATGGAAAATATACGATGATTTATGGGAATCTAAGACGAATGAATGAGTTGATAAATTTGTCCAGTGTTTCAGTAGCTAGTCTGCATGTTTGGAGAAACATATTTACATCCATTTAAATTTATGAGTGCATGAACGGGGATTTCAATTTAGAGGTAGTATTCATCACTGATTAACATCAGTTGGGGATAACGAGAAGTTCTAATGAGAGGTCATGAACTTGTGGAGTCAGCCAGTCGGAAGGGAAAAGTATGCCAACTGAAGACCTTGGGTGATATTCATGCTATATCATCAATTGACTCCTTAGCTAGGTCTTGGTGCGTTCCTACTGAGGAATCCCATACTAGAAGGAAACAGCTATCTAGTACTCCCAGGTTTTTAATGGTTCCATGATGAATACTACTTCAAAATTGGACAAAATGCTTGTCCAACATCCTTTATAAACCAATAATCGATTGAGTAATATAAACTTTTGGTTAAAACTAACTATATGAATAAAGAAATGTATTTAACAAGTTGGTGCAGTATGTAAATAAGCTACACTGGTTGTGTGAGAATTAAATGATAACAACTGGACGCTACGACAGGTGGGATCAGTGATCGAACTCGTCATCTACTGGTCGGAAAGTCCAGAACCTAGAACAAAGAGCCTCACATCAATCAACTATAGAAACAAAACGCTTATTTTTTATTGTTCACAGTAACACAGTGAAGATTCCAAAGAAGTTTTAATGTAACATACGAATCTATGTGATATGGGGATCAGTAGTGACTATAATCAAACTAACCCTTGAATAAACAATGCAGAGAATGCATCACAGAAGAATCAGTTTTACTGATTTGATGGTTTAAGGAGATGATTCAACTGGTGGGGCGCAGATCCAAGCCGTGCTACACCTACCGAGGTTTGAGTAGCCAGGTTGTATCACAAACTATCATACAACAGGTGTGGCTCACTGCTTACTGCACGGATATACACAAAGTAGTTGAGTGCGTTATGTTACTTTTTTTTTACGGTGTTTACAATTTCGTTTTAAATAATTACACAAAGAAACCATAAACAAGAGAATATTCAACCTAGACTTACTTAACTTTATTACTTGAGCGTTCAGTACCCAGTCTATGACGACGTGGAGTACCTTCTACACCTGGTGAACTACCATATCCCGAACGAGGAGTAAGAGTACCACCAGATGTACTACCTGGAGTGACAGGAGTAAGTGATAAAGTGGACCCTGATTTCATGGGAGTATTCGATGGAGTAGTGGAAGGTGTTACATCTGCAGAGGAAAATTCATCACCACTGTTCGGCAGTATAAAAGCACTATTAGAAGTTTTGTCAGGTGATGAATCGACTGGTGCAACTTCTGCGTCATTATCTATAAAAGTAAGAATATTATAAATGAATATGAAGATAACAGAAAAATGAAGAACACAATGAAATGATACCTTTGTTGCTGTAAGAATAGTACTAGTTAGCAGGGTAAAACTTCCATGATAGCAAAGAAAAAGGGGTTACTAAAGATCTTGAGCTTCTAAACAGACTTTGTTCATAAGTTTCGAATTTAAAGGTTATGTAGAATCAAATGGAATTAAACATTACTATCACTATCATCTATCAAGACCAATCATTACTGCGTAACCGTCCGAGTTGCTACAGATCATATCACTACATCAAGTAAACAAGACAGTGAAGTGGAAGATGAAGAAAAGAAAATTCAATCAAAATAAATATAAAAAACTAAAAGAGAGAGAGAGGAAGAATGAGAAAATGGTAAAATTCGGTAAAGCGTCAAGAAAAGGATAATATGTGTGTGTATGGAAATACATCTGCACCACTGACATCGGTTCTCAGCCATGTGATCACCTAGAGTTAGTCTCCGACCACTAGTTCGTTTCTGTTGTCCCCCGGACCCAAGCCACCTAGTCCACATCGCCTCACATGGTTCAAAACCAACAGTCAAACATCTCATACATTGATACCATGTTTTAGTATGCTCACCGCCAGCCTTTTTCCAGACTGAACCTACTTTGGTCAACATTGTGTGACGAGGGAGTCGGAGACTGGACATATGTAACACATGTTCCAACCATCTCAGTCAATGAAGGTTCACAACCGCATCACTGACTTACCTCTTCTCCTAAAAACTCTACACCTTACTTCTGTGTTTCACGTGGTGACATTACGGAATAAGACTCATACTGCAAAGTCAACGGTGGTCAAATACATGAAGCCTTCTTATATCTTCCACCTTCAATGGCCATGTTTTACAGTCATACAGTAGGATAAAGCTGACTGCTTTATAGTAGATCTTGAGCAATCAAATATTGTTCCCTTCATAACTAAAAGACAAACACGGGCACCTTAGTCTACCTGCTTTCGTGCTAACCTATCAGTTTATGGGCGACTATGCAGTAAAAAGAGACTGTTGGCAACATGGACATGAGCCAGCCAGGCTTTATAAAAGTGTAAGGAAGGACATTGGATCAATCCTAGAACGCTCGATTCATTTTGACCATTCAACTGACTCAAATAGCACATAAATAAGGAAACAGACAAAAGTTGGATAGAAATCATCAAATGAGAACAATTTGTATGATAGAATGAATAGAACCTTCAAAGTGAATGAAGTGCTCAGTGGTGATTCCTGAAGTCTCAATGAAAGTCGTGACCGGTAGGGAAAACAGCGTGGATGTGACGATAAATACTAACATTGAATAATGGTTGCACTATATCCTTAACTGACAGAAGTAGGAAAAATTGACCAGTGGCTCAATGGTGACGTGCTGGTCACAGAACCTGGAGGTCCTGGGTCCCATCCCTGGCAGGGTCAGGCGCGCACTGCTGAGGAATCACATACAAAGGATGATAGAGCTGTTCAGAGCTGCCAGGTTTCCAATGTTTCTCCAACTGATGTCAGTCCATAGTGAATACCAACAGGAAATTAATAAATCCCTACAACCTCCCAAATTGAAAAAAGGGTAATTAATTTCGTCAGTGTATGACATGCGAACACGGGGTGAAGCATACTTGCGTCGAGTTACCATCTGTTAGCGTTCGAGCGATCACGTTATTAAATACGGCTAGGAATTGGAACCAGTGGCGGTCATGCTGTAACAATCTCAACCTGCCATAACACACTGGCTACTCAAGTCATACTTAATCAGTTGGCATTTCGTGTTTGTAAGTATGGCATTTACTTTACACTACTTAAGTGCAAAATACTTTTGCAGGATTAGAAGGAGCCTCTCCCACCATTGGAAGTAGTCAAAAAGTTTGTGTATCTGGGTAAGTTGTATGAATGAATACTGGTGGAGGTGTGAATGATGAAATTTTCAACTGTATATCGAAAGTCAGAATGGCATACGTGATCGCCGTCACCACGTTAGTCTGACCGGGAAAAGTTGAGTATACAACACTTCGATGCAAGCAGTTCTGCTCTATGCCTGTGAAACTTGGTCTCTCTAAACTGTGGATATACGACAATTCTGTGTGTTCGATTATCGTTGTCTCTGTAGGATTGTTCATATCCAATGGAAACACCATGTAAGTAATTGTGAGGTACTACAGCGTGTGTTTGGGGATGATGATGAAGAATGTCAGTTAATGAGTGAAGTCATCTAGAAACATGGACTTCGGTGGCTTGGATATGTCGCATGTCGCATGACGCATATCATCCTAACGACTTCCATACTGTTCATTATTTATAAACCTTGTGACTGGATGGAGAAAGCAGAGGGGTGAAGAATGTATGACGTGGCGTCGTGGGATGAAGGATAGTTGTATCGGGTTAGCATCTGTTGGTATTTGAGAGATCAGTGAACTCACTGACTTGGGAGGTTATCAGATATGGTTGTAGGTTCCTTCTTTCTCCTACTACTTAAAAGTAATGAGTGGTTTGTTTTGAATGTATCTTACTGAACTGTCTTTCTTATTGTTTTCTTTTCCTACTTATCCACTTCCCTTCGCTTTACGTCTTCATAATGTTGTTATAGTATTTTGTGTGGCGCATTTTTTAGTGCCAGTGATGTACCATATTTGTGTTCTAATAATAATAGTAGTGATAATAATAATAATAACTCGATATACATACAAGTCATCATTTACCTGTGATAACTTCAATGACTGGTTCGAATGAGTAATTCCTACTTGAATAATATGAGTATATTGGAAAAACAAAACTAATCAGAAATAAAATACTTACATGAAGTAGAAGTTAGGTCTTGTTTCCGCTTGGATGCTCTAGGAGGAGAAGGCATTCTTAGATTGACATCTGTATCACCAAGATGTCTGCGATTAGCACGAGAAATTTCATTCTAGTTTGGAAATGGGTATTATAGATTTGGAATAATTGACTTATAGACACATAAAGGAATATATCATAAGTAATATGAAGCAGAAATGCAAACTACTCATCTTCATGGTAATCTAGGAGTGTACGCGCTGAGTTATCCTAGTCAACCAATGAAGTTGAGGATGACCAATGATAGGAAGTGGTCTAAAATCGAAATCATCAGCCACTAAGGTATACGATTTGGATTCCTACCTTCTTTATGTTACTGTGTGGGCGGAGTAATCCTTATTGGACAATTTTGTCTTATAGTTGACCAATCAAAAGAAGGATACAACTTTTGACCTATTGGCTCTACATACAAATAAAGTGTCTTCCTAGCAGTCATAGGCCAGTCTTTTTTTCTGATTTTCGCGGCTTAGTGAAGTATCAGGTCTGAGAGAGAGAAAGAGTGGACACTGTTTGTACTTAGTCCAAGTGATCTCATTGCGTTAGTAATATTCTTGTATTTCGTGTTATTCTGTTAGTCACTTCAGTCACAAATACGCAAGTGACCAGAGATCAAAACAATACATCAGTATTCAAGAAAGATACTCAGGATATACAGGATTATTTAACCAACGAACCAAGTGGTGTTGATATCTTTAGAAAAGAATGATAAGAAAAAGGTTACCAGTACACAGATGCATATTTGGCGGATATTATGGATTTCTCAAGTTGGTTTTCATCATAGGTTGATATCAGTTAGGGGAATATTGGAAACCTGGAAGCACTGGACAGCTGTTTCATCCTAGTATGGGACTCTTCAGTAGTGTGCACCCACGACCCCGTTCGCCAGGCATCGAACCCGCGACCTTCAGGTTCTACGACCAGCACGTTATCACTGAGCCACTGAATGGGAATCCAATTGTTCATATTTTCAACTTCTGTCAGTTCACGACACAGCGCGACCACCACCCAATGTCATCATTGTCGTCACGGCCACCAGGTTTGCTCCTCTGGTCACGACTTCGCACTGGAACTTCAGGAATCACCTCTTGAAGCCAGTCAGCAACGTGTACTATTTCAATTGAGATTGGGGGTTTGTAGGGAATTAGAGATCTTTCAAGTTGGTATTCATCATGGACTGACATCCTCACAAACCCCAAAATTTAATTGGACTAGCGCAGGTTAATAATTAGATTCAAGAGGTGACTTCTGAAGTTCTAGTGTGAAGTCGTGACCAATAGGGAAAACCTGATGGTCGCGAGGACAAATACTCAACAATGACATTGGGTGATGGTCACGCTATGTTGTGAACTGATAGAAGTCGGAAATATCGACCAAAAGATTCCAACCCAGTGGCTCAATGGTAACGTGTTGGCCGCGGAACCTTGAAGGTCATGGATTCGATCCCTGGCGGGATGGGGTTATGGGTGCGCACCGCTAGGGAGTCCCATGCTAGGATAAAACAGCTGTCCAGTGCTCTTAGGTTTCAAATGTTCCTCCAACTGATGTCAGTTCACTATGATCACTAAATTTTTAAATTCCCACAAACCCTCAGAATAAAATTGACAATAAGCTATAGTAGTTAGTTGGGTAATACAGTTTCTAAGCCATAGGGACATGGGTTCGAACCGCATTCCACTTACGTCGGTCTGGGCAATCAGTCAATAACATGACCCCTTACATAATAAGTTAGGCTAACAAACTCATACAAAAATGTACGCAGGATTGAGTTGTATTATTCACTATATTTACTTAAAATAGTCGTCACAAGCTGCTACATCTTTTCAACTCCTGCACCAAACGTATTGAAGATAGATACAAGATTACCATTTTGATTTGGTTACAACAGACACGTCAGCAACAGAAAACCATTTTCTGCGGCCAACACGATACCATTGAACCACTGGATTAGAATTTACTGGTCAGTATTTCAGACTTCTATCAGTTCAAGACATAACGCGATCATCATCCGATGTCATCGAGGAGTATTTGTCCTTACGACTTTACACTGTATTAATTCATGTTAATCGAGAGAGATGTCATCAATTTTAATTGTCTTTGTTTGTTTTCTGCTGTGGCGTATTCAACTACACCAGTGAACAAAGATATCAACAGAAATACTACTGAAACATATACAAGGCAGTAATAAAACAATAAAGTCCATATCTCAAGCGAAAGTGTTACGTTTACTATATCAAAGTCCAATAATACTACTTATTTAAATATCAATAGTCCATACTGAAACATACCAAATTTCATTTCAATGGGAATAAGTTTTTTATTTTTATGGAAGTACAATTCAACAGTTTTGTTCCTCTCTGAAATAATCTCATCCCTTTATCGTCTTCTGTCTAATGTCACACAACTTGAAGATCTACAGGCGAAAACTAACAAGTTGACAGAAGAGGCAGGGCAGCGAAGACGGCACTTCAAGTGAACATAGAGAAGACACAGGCGATGAAGATACCCAACCAACAACAATAGCAACAAGCTCAAATCACCATCAATAGGAGAAACTTATACGAAGTAGCCTCCTTCACCTACCTAGGCAAAGCAGCATCGTTTCAACTACAGGCGGCACAGACGAGGACGTCAAAGCCAGCCAGACAGGATCGGAAAGACAGCAATACAGGCGTTTATTAGCCTGAAACCAGTGTGGAGATCTTCTGCACTCAGCATAAAGCGTGAACAACATCCGGATTTTCGAGACTAATGTCAAGTCAGTGCTTCTATATGACTCAGAGACTTGGCGCGTTACGAAACGCATTTCCAACAAAATACACACATTCATCAACAACTGCCACCTACGCTCCTTACTGAAGATCAGATGGCCAGAAGGAATAAGCAGCAAGGAACTCTGGCTGCCTAGCAACGAAACAACCAAGAACCTATCGCTCAACAAATATGCAGAAGGAAGTGGATATGGGTTGAGCATGCAATGAGAAGACCATCCGGGGACATCACGCGCCAGGCCAGGCAATCGAGTGGGACCCAGATGGGAAGCGACGAGTTGGGTGTCTGAAGGTGACATGGAGGAGATCGTGTAAGGAAGAAATCAAAGCTTCTGGACAGTCGTGCAGCCAGGTTCAAAAGTTTGCAGAGAACAGAGTGGAATGGATACGTGCTACTGAAGCCCTATGTTCCACTAGGAACCCAAGAGATAAATAATAATAAATAATAATTTATCATCTCTGCACATCAGACTACATCAGAAAGACAGTAACTATCATGCTGAGATTCGTCTTGTTAAGGCTGAACTAAAACATCTACACCCAAACAAACATTACTACTAAATGGAAATAACTACCAATTTCGGGGCATTTGAGTAGGGGCTTTTTATATGCCAGTGTATCAGTCGTTCAACACGGTTTAATCAACGACGGGAAACTATAAGCAATAACACCAAAGACACATACACACACACACACAAACATTTATACTTGGATCAGTAAATGACTATGATCTAAGTTTGTAGCTCAAAAGAATGGAAATCATTAATCAGTTTCCCAAGATGCCTAATATACGCGTTCAGCATTTATATCGATGGCCTTTTTCTTCATATCTGAAGCTAGTACTGGTGAACAATAAGACGACTAGTAAAGCAAACCAGTAGTAATTTTTCAGTAGTATTATTCTCTTGTTATCACTTTATTCTAAAAAATATCATGTTAACTTACTTCAACTCTTATTATGGATATATATATATATATATATATATATATATATATATATATATATATATAAAATAAATGAAATTTAACTCAGAAACCATATTCAGGTTCATACACTAAGCAATAAACAACACTTATTGTCACAGTTGATGATAACTAACCTGGATTATCAAGCTTAGATAGGTGAAGTAGGAGGTTTGAACAGATTTCAGATATCACATGGAAAATTATATCAGTAAGTGAACTACAACACCACAGCGCAAGTGGAATGAATATTCCTTTATTTTATTCTTAGTTAAAAGACAAGGATAGTGTAATATGAACATTAAGAAGTGAATATTTCGCCTTGAAACTAAACATCATCCCTGCAGCCCATAAAGTTCACAGAAACTATACCCATCAACTTCCTACATGTATTTGACAAATCTAGTATGACGGTAGGGGGAAACAAGAAAAGTGTATCATAAGATTATGTAACAATCAAGGCATAAAAATGATCAAGAGGAAAGAAAGGATAAGCAGCAGCGAAATGGGAACAAATTACCTACGAACAAATCGTGTGTTAATTTCGGTTACAGTTTGATGGTTGCTCATTTCAATTACGTCTTGAGTTGGATGATCTGATGAGACGTATTCAGCAATCAATGATGTAATTCTTAAAATCATTAAGGAGTGAACAGAAATAACTTGTCATACTTATTACACGGGTGAATAGAGGAATACAGGTGTTAGGACAGAAATACAATATATACTCGCGAAGTATATCTAGAGTCTATGAGAACGCCAACATTTGCTAGAAAGCACATATGCATGAGTTATAAACGTAAAAGAGTGAGCATAGGACTAAGCTACTCCTCATAGAAAAAACAACATAAGAAAGTGTAGGTTACCTACATAAAAGTATCTACTTGTTGCAGTAAATCAATCAGCCAATCAATATCAACATAGGACCAGGCAATACTGAGTAACCGTCCAACTTGCCACACCTCATATCACTACATCAAGTAGAAAGGTAGTCAGGTGAAGGATGAAGATAAGAAAATTCAGTCGAAAGAAATATAAAGTACGAGAAGAAAGAAAAGAGGAACGACGAAATGGTGAGATTTGGTAGACTGTCGTTAAGATGAGGATAATGTGTGTGGACACATCTGCTCCACTGATATCCGTTCTGAGCCACGTGATCACCTAGTCTCCAATCACTGGTTCCTCTTGTCCCGCCGACCCCAACCACCTAGTCTGCATCACCCCACATGACTCAAACCAACAGTCATACACTTCATACATTGGTGTCATGTTTTAGTCTGGACACTTCGGGACTTTTTCCAGCCTCCACATACTTCAGCCAACATTGTGTGACGAAGCAGTCGGCGATTAAGCATACGTAACACATGTCCCAACCATCTCGGTCGATGAAGGTTCATAATCTCGTCAACTGATTTACCTCTACTCCTGACTTCTGCGTTACTCACTCATGTAGTGATACCATGGAATACGGCTTATACTACGAAGGCAACGGTGGTCAAACACTTGAAGCCTTCTAATATCTTCCACCTTCAATGGCCATGTTTCACAGTCGTACAGGAGAACAGACCGGACTGCTGTGCAGCAAATCAACTATAAGACTGCAGAGAATCAACTACTAACAGTCAAACAGATGTTTTCTTATTTACCAAGTGTCTTACAGTGTCTCACATATCATATATGCAGTGTAAACTTTATATTTGCATTAAGAACACTGTACATGAGTTATATATATATAGACAGAATGAGAAATTTATCAGTCTTACCAGTTTTTCCCAATTCACAGGTGCCCATCCAGGACGTCCCGTAGTATTATCATGTTCTTTTCCAACAGAATGACTCAATCGACTATTATCACTATCCAATTTACAATTATTTGATAATAAACCTAATCGTTTAGCTCTGTCAACAGCTACTTCAACATATTGTGCACCAATATTACCCTCAGAAGAAGTATTCAATTTAACTGTAGAATTTTTAACACTATCAATAAAACTTGCAGGATCATCAGTTACACCAATAGAATCTTTATCTATGTCAGTAGTGTTGTTGTTGTTGTTGTTTAATATGATATCCGTTGATTGATTAGATGATGTTTGATATTCAGTAGTTTCAATGCCACACAGATTACATGTATATCCATCACTTAATCTAGGCATAGTCACGTTATAATATGACTCCATACACTCAACATGTTGACAAGTACTAAAAAAAAAAAAAGAAAGAAAAACCAATGAATGATTAGTAATAATTATTTAATCAACTTGGTTATTATTACACAAAATACTATAAGTTAAGTTACGATACAAGTTAGATGTTTTGAAATAAAATTATCTGGAACACTATGATAAGCAGGTGAAGTAAGACAATACAAGCATTAACAACAGTAGATTGAACCATATGCTTTCAGACAAATTGGGATGAAATGATAAAGAATAGACAATAACAGGAAAAAGAGTACTGCTCAGTAAGTAATGATGCTTGCAGAAACTTATACAAGTGGCATGATCACCTTAAGTTGTCATACTTTACAAGAGTACACAAAGAACAGGCGAATGGAAGAGGAGTGATATAAAAGTAGATAAAGTTGTGCCAAGGAGTGAATACTTCTAAGCTAGTGTCATCGATTTTTATCCATATATTACCAATAGCCTTCACAATCATCTTGGAGACTCCAGTCAGGGACTTCATGGATTAATGCCATGCCTTAGTGTCTAACCACCCTGAAGCCTCTTCTAATCTAATTCAGCCTTCCGCAGAATAGCATATCGAGTTAGGCTGTTACTCAGTATGCGCAATACATATATCTAAGCCATGCCAAACAATGAAGGTTCACAACTTCACCAATCGACTTACCCATCTTGTCATATATATATATTTCTCAAAAAATGCCAAAAATCAATGAATGAAACCTCAAGGTACATAATTCAAGATTCATCGAAATAACACAGATTGTCTACGTCGGCTTTTAACTCAGTGAAAACAGTGAATATTCTGTTAATTATAAAACCGATTAATTTCAGCGATTTCAATCGTGATGCCCCAGTCTTGTATAAAACATTTTTATTGATCTGAACATTTTAACGTGTCATCCCCACATTATTTTTACGGTATGACTAATAGTCTAACCTCGCCTGGTTAACTAGTACACTAGTTACTAGCCGGTCCAAAGCCCGGATAAAGAGGGAAGGTTGCGCATTGGGCTAGCAACCCTACTCCGTAAAACAAATATAACCGCTAAGCAAACTTCAAAGCACAAACGATATATAAAAAATAATAACAAAATTATTCCTCGTTGGAATCGGAGAGGCGAAATGATGCCAGTTGGTGAAAGCCTTCGGGAAGCCAATTGGCCGATATGACTTCGTCTTACTCGATGGGGACATGGAATGTCCGTACGATGTTTGAACCCAGCAAGGCAGCCCAGATTGCAAACGAGATGAAGAGGTATCACACTGAAATGCTTAGAATTTGCAAAAGCAGATGGAATGGGAGTGGACTCTCAAAACTGTCAACTGGGGAATCAATAATCTACTCCGATATTGTCACTCAGATGACAACCACGAGCACACTGAGTTATGGAGTGGCTATCATGATGTCCCCTTGAAGAGCATCGAAGGCCCTCATGCAGTAGGAACCAATCTGCTCATGCAGGATCATGACAGCAAGGTTCAACTCAAAAGGAAGGAAGGTCCCAATCATACAATTTTACGCTATGCACCTACAAATAATGCAGAGCAAGAGAAGAAGGAGGAATTCTACAGACAACTGCAATCAACACTGGACAAGACACCACCTCAGTTGGCGATATCAAAATTCTAATGTGTGGGGTGACATGAATGCCAAACTGGGAGGGGACAACACAGGAAGAGAACTAACCATGGGTCGAGAAGCGCTCCGTGAGGTGATGAACGAGAATGGAGAATTGTTTGCAGAATTCTGTGCATTCAACGATTTCGTGATTGCAGTGAGGCAGTGTGTTCAAGCACAAGGATATCCACAAAGTGACATGGATCTCACCAGACACCTGGACACACTTAAAATCAAATCGACTTTATCTCAATCTCAAGAAAATGGAGACGCAGTCTACTTAACACAAGGTCAAGAAGAGGAGCAGATGTAGGTTCACACCACTCACTATCTAGTGCAAGGAACCTTCCAAATCAAAATGAAAGCCTTCAAGGAAGCTGGTGATAGACCACAGTTCAAGTACAACACTCGGAACAGAAACTGAAGGATGAAACTACAAAGGAAATCTTCACGACAGCCATCAAGACAAAATGGGAGATATCGAGGAACATCCCTGAAGAAACCTGTGTAGAAGAACACTGGAAGTCTTTGAAAGCTATGTGGAAAGAAACCTGCACAACAGTATTAGGAAGGAAGAAGAAAGAAGATAAGGAATGGATCTCAACGGATACATGGAAGCTGATAGAGCAGGGAGAGGAGGATGGTGAAGCAGAAGACAAACCAGTGCATGGATACTCAACGACAAGAGGAACTGAGTACAATGTATGAAACACTACACTGGACAAAGAAGTGAAGAAGAGTGCACGCAAAGACAAAAGACGCTTCTACGAAACACTGGCAAGTGAAGCAGAACAGGCTGCAGGTAACAGAGACCTGACAACATTGTATAAAATAACCAGGTTGCTATCTGGGAAGAGATCAACACAGATGAAACCAATAAAAGATGATGAAGGAAACTTAATTACGAAAGAAGAGAAACAAAGGAAACGATGGGCCGACCACTTCAAGAAGCTCTTGAATCGATCACCACCACCTGCACTTCGTCCAGAAATATCACCTGCAGCCGCTGAACTACAAGTGAACATAAATCCTCCAACAAAAGTGGAAGTCCTGAACGCCATAAAGCTACTGAGATGTGGGAAAGCAGCACGACCAGATGGGATCCCACCAGAAGCACTGAAAACAGATGCAGAGACAACAGCAGACATGCTCACACCACTATTGCAGAAGGTGTGGAAGGAAGAGAAGGTACCTAGCGATTGGAAGAAGGGTTACCTTCTCAAACTCCTGAAGAAGGGAGACCTCAGTGTTTGCAAGAACTGGTGCGGAATCACTCTGCTGTCCACCCAGAGCAAGCAAAATATTAAGCCGCATCATCCTGGAGAGGCTAAAGGATGAACTGGATTCAAAACTACGACCAGAACAGGCAGGCTTCAGGAAGTACAAATCATGTGCAGACCAAATTGCAACGCTTCGCATCATCAGAGAACACAGTATAGAATGGCAGTCAACTCAACTCTACCTCAACTTCATCGACTTTGAGAAGGCCTTTGATAGCGTCGACCGAGAGGTAGTTTGGAAACTGCTTCAATACTACGGAATACCGCAAACCTTTATCAGCCTCATTCAACAACTATATGAAGGTGCCACATGCCAAGTAATTCACAATGGGAAGCTCAGTGATGCTTTTAAAGTGAAGTGAAGTGAAGACAGGAGTGAAACAAGATTGCCTACTATCCCCCATGATATTCCTGATTGTGGTCAACTGGACTGGATCATGCAGCAAACAGTGGGGAGCGAGAAGAGGGGGATACGCTGGCTGGACTGCGGAAAAGGACCTAGAAGATCTGGATTTCGCCTGTGATGACTTGTGCCTGATGTCACACAAACTTGAAGATCTACAGGTGAAAACTAACAAGTTGACAGAAGATGCGAGGCAGGGCAGCGAAGACGGGACTTCAAGTGAATGTAGAGAAGACAGAAGTGATGAGGATACCGTACCAACAACATCAACAAACTCTAATCACCATCAATGGGAGAAACTTAAAGGAAGTAACCTCCTTCATCTATTTAAGCAGCACTGTTTCAACTACAGGCGGCGCAGACCAGATGTCAAAGTCAGAATCGGAAAAGCAAGACAGGCGTTCATTAGCCTGAAACCAGTGTGGAGATCCGCTGCACTGCACTGCACTGCACTTAGCACAAAGCGTGAACAAGATCCGGATTTTTAACACCAACCCAGTCAAGTCATTGCTTCTGTGTGATGGTTCAGAGACTTGGCGCGTTACGAAAGGCATTTCCAACAAACTACACACATTCATCAACAACTGCAACCTACGCTCGCTACTGAAGATCAGATGGCCAGAAACAATAAGCAACAAGGAGCTCTGGGAACGAACCAACCAAGAACCTATCACCCAACAAATATGCACTGGAAGGAAGTGGAGATGGATTGGATTGGGCATACACTGAGAAGGCCGACTGGGGAAATCACGCGTCAGGCCAGTTGCTCGAGTGGAACCCAGATGGGAAGCGACGAGTTGGGCATCCTAGGTGAGGGTGACAGGAGATCGTGCGAGGAGGAAATGAGAGCTTGTGGGCTGTCGTGGAGCCAGGTTGAAAAGATTTCAGAGAACAGAGTTCACTGGAGACGTGCTACTGAAGCCCTATGTTTCATTAGGAACCCAAGGGACTAATATAATAATAATAATGACTAATAGTCTATTTTCTGCCTCCATTGTAATGTAATTCGCTGATTGGTTAACTTTTATTCTTACTATGCGAATTTCTCCAATTGCGGACAAGGTCATTTTTCATGTGCATACTTATTCACGTGTTTTAGATTGATTCATTGTTACTATATTCTCGGAGTAATACACTCTCCCATCTGCCAGCTTCGGTCTTCTCTCTATTCGTCCCAGGGTTGCAGTCAGTATCTCTTGCGTACCAAGTTAGCTGTCAGCTAAGCGCGCGTATTATATTCGTTTCGGAATACATATACATATACCATTAGCGCTTCGAAAATATAACAATTACCATATCGAATTTTTTTTAAAGAATAAAAATGATCATGATATCCTAAAATTACTGCGCTGCCAGGCAGCAAAATCAGCTGGACAAAGGCATTGCTTTGAATTGCATTATGCTGGAGTATTTCACTCGTAGCACGAGCTATCAAGTGTGTAGAGAGGAGAATGAGTAAGTTCTGAGTGGGAACATTAACATCCCCCCCCCAAGAAATTAAAATATAAGGTGCACGTTTTTATGAGACATGGATGGTAAACAAACAGGCTGATCAGAACAGAATATTTTGCTACCCTGACGTGGTGGTTAGACTGTGGTATCATAATGATCTACTGAATGATGCTACTTGAAGAAATTATTCCTTGAAGTTTTATCATAACAAGATGATTTGGTGGTAGGGACCAAAAGTAATTACTTCTACAGTGTAAATAGATTATGCTATGTTAGTCCGTACTGCTCGTTGTAAAGTGTGACTGCATTAAAGTGTTTTCCACAGATGATCACTACTATTCTATGATGCTAATACTTCCTTTTTATCGATTCCGAATTAGAACATTAAGCCCTTCCAAGAAGTTTTCGATACTAGTGTTTTCCTGTTTAGGACATATCCTAAATTCCAAAATGAAATCACTCGATAAAAGGGTATATATGATTGACTGGCTAAACGAAAATGATTTTCTTTAGCTGTATTTCTCTTTGAGATATCTCACGAAGACAGCAATTTTCATGATATAAGCAACCAAGCAGTAGCATGAAGTAATTGTACGTTTCCAAACGATTAAACTTTATAATAACACCGAGATTTAGTAGTTAGTCTCAGTAAACTTGCAAGTATTACAGTACATGGTTTTACAACCGAAGATTACAACTCAAACAGATAAAAGTCTGTTTGAATCAATCAGTGTCGAAATGACTTAACAGTACTACTGACGACTGTTTTCTTGTTCGCTTCAAAGATCACCAGTAAACATGAAAGGTGATTTAGTATGAAAACCTTCTGAAAAAAAAAAATGAATGAGCGAAGTATTTAGGGAAATACACAAATATCAGGATACAAAAAAAGAGTAATTGAAACATATTTAATCCCCCCCCCCCCCCGAAAAAAAAACCAACCTGCATTTAGGACACCGAATAAATCCAGATTTCGGTGCAGAGTGACCACACACACAACGAACATCAGCCCAAACGTTATTCCCGGTGTTATCGACTGTTGATCCTTCAGAGGTGGGAATAGCAACCTGGAAAATGAAACAAGATATTCATTTGTGAACTTTGTAAAGGTACATATTGAAGAATGCTAACAATGATTTGTGAAACAAGTATCACAAATTCTAAATACACTACAAATGACAACATAGAGACCTATACCAACTGAAACATCTTATGTCACTCATACCACATATCCGTGTAGCACGGTACAAACTCCCAACTATCTTCAACACTCATATATATCGTCACCATTCATACTTTACTCCAACCTCCAACTTCACCACACACACACACACACACACACACAATATATATATATATATATATATATATATATATATATACACACAACTGCACACAAAACAAATCACACTATCCAACACAAAAGTCGACATAAAGCAACAGAATGAAAACATAAAGGTTACACAAATAATTCAACACTTTGAAGATAACTAATTGACTATATGGACGGTTACTTAACGCTATTTTACTTACAGTATCCAACTAACTTCTAGTTCCTATCATTTCGACAACTCCAATGTGACAGATTGCATCTGTCTAAATGGATCACATAAACAGGTTCCATGCACCTGTGTCGTGTTCTGGTTTGACTACCACCAGTATTCTCTTAACTCAACCACGTTTCGATAGGCATCCTTTTTCACGTAAGCAGTGAATGGAAAATGAAAAACACGTGTCTAAACAAACTCAACCTTATCGACTGATTTCCCATCCATACCTAACCTCAGCATTCCTCATAATGTGATTTTACTTATAACACGCAAGAAACACCAGGAAGATACCTATGGACGAAATCCTGTTGTCTCATCATGTCTTCCACTTCTAAGTGTCATCCTTTTAAACAACTGTGTACAACAGGATGGATTAGATTCTTGTGCAGCATACTCATCCAGTTTTAATCAGATATGTCGCCGATTCTAGCAAGTGCCATTTCGAATAAGTTTTTGTATCCAAATTGTAATTCAAGTAACAACAAGCCCAGTGGAAATGATACAATTTCCCATGTGAGTGACGTCGTTAACCTATAACCACCGTTTCAGTACTCATTCATAAACCAGAAGTCAGTACAGATAGGTCTTGAAGCATCCTCTAGTATTTTACTGATACATAGCGCATTTCAGATTTCCGCTGATGGTGTTCAGAAAACTTCATTCTCTCAGTGTCTTTATCTAACACAACTATGTCAGCTAAGTGCTTTAATTCACATAGGTGCTCTCTCTAGGGAGTAGGATAAACGTTGAGGAATTAGAGGTACATAAGGTTACGTTCTGCACTACGATATCTGATAACCTAAGCGTATATTACTAGTTATCGTTATCACAGATGAGAACTCTTCCGATGGCCTGACAACATAGCAAAGTAATTTCCAGCTAAGGGTCCCAGCAACCACGGATTTTTGAACGCCGTCAGACGCTGCTAAAACATATTTAGTTTTGTCCAGATAAATAGATAAACCGTGTATAAATAACCATTGGTGTCTTGAATGAAACCAATCCAGGATAGATATTACAGCAAAAAGCTAACCGTTTACGCACACTTTAATGCATACCATATCGGCTGTGAAACTACAATAAAAGCAATGACTACTACCTCACAGTTAGGCTTACTGGTTACTGCGTCAGCTAAAATGACCGTAACCCAATCTACATTTAAATATTCTTCGGGTTTTCAAAGATAATGTTCAATTTGAATTATCTGCTCACCAGTTGAGAACACAATGAATGCAAACACATTGAACTTTTGGCACTCAAAAGTCTTTCAAAGTGCCAGCAATAGAAAAGTTTGGCGTCATGCATTATTGACTAAATGGAACCATATATTGTTATCAAAGAGTGAACAAGACTTTTTGATTGATTGTGGTCAAAAGTTAAATGAATTGGTCGAAGTGAAACGAAACTAATTTGCTTGTGAGACAGATAGGAGAAAGCAACGTAGAACCTCTCTCACACACACACAAGTGCATCAGTTCAAATTGCCATACCTCGGAGAGAATAAGTGGATAGCAAAATGACTGATAATCAAAATAGACAAACATTTATGAAAGGAGAAGGAATTCTAAAAATAAAGCTTAGTGGAAATCTTCAAACCTTAGAAGATGTCAAGGAGTGAACACTCTTGCACCAATGTAACCGATTTTCAGCCACATCACAGACAGTGCACTACGACTGATTTCTATCATTTCAGGGATGCCAGTCAGACAGCGTACACTTCCCTACACGTTTCACAGACGAACAGTCAGAGACTTCATGGATTGGTGATACACCTCGGTCTGGCCACCCTGAACACTATTCTAACGCAATCTAGTCTCCTGTAGCACGGCACCTTGAGGTACGCGCTTAAAAGCTTGGTTATTTGTTGTCAAACCTAAAATCAACACTAACGGTATTCATAGAATTGCATTGTATTATCATTCTCACAGAACGAGATGATCTTCATAAACTGGCAGCTTGGATACCGTTGTGAAGAAAAGTTTCCTCTTTATTGTTTACAAATAACGTAGGGACTGATGGGTAATATTTTCAACCCGTTTCACACTGTCAAAAACTGCCTTACTTTCTGAAATTCCTTTCTTCAGTAGTGTGATTAGATGGTTTTCCTGCTATATGTACTGCATCTACAACTCATAAGCTCAAGCATAGCCTACCTAGGGTTACGGCATTAGTGTTAAATACATTTCAATTTTCGGTAAAACATGATGTGACGAATGGTTCTCCACCATTGTCTAAATATCACATATTCTAATTATATTATGTCAATATCAATATGGAAACTGGTAATACCATATAACGGTTCAATTTCCTACACTTTGAATCACCACACTAACCTACAAGACAACAAGGTGAAAGACAGAGAAATAGGAAAAAATCTAACTAAAAATGTTAGTTATAGTAATGATGGATATTGGCTAGCAGTGGAATCCAGGATGCGCATTTCGTCCCGTTTGGAACTCATCAGCTGGATGTACCTGCCTCCTAGTGAGTGTTGTTCCCACCGGGATTCAGACTCAGGAGCGATCGCTTCAAACGCCAGAGCGTTATCCACTACAGAAATGCGCATCCTGGATTCCACTGCTAGCCATCTTTACTATAACTAGAACTACACAGGTATATCGAAGCATCCTTATAGGAGCCTACAGGCCAATAGAGACCGATCAATTCGGTCCAATCAACGACGGTATAATACGAGCAACAACAATAAAAATGTTAGTGTTATTGCTTGTATTACACCGTTGTTGATTGGACCGAATTGATCAGTCTTTGTCGGCATATGCGCTCATGTGCGGATGCCTCGATATTGCCTGTCTTTTAACTATGTATAATACAAGCAATAACACTAAACCTATACCCGTTGCACAAGAAGTGGCTATCGTGGCTCGGTGGTGTAGTGGATTACGCTCTGGCGTTTGAAGCGATCGCTTCCGATTCCGAGTCCCGATAGGAACAACATAACTCACTGGGAGGCAGCTACATCCAGCTGACCAGTGAGTCCCAAATAGGACGAAATGCGCATCCTGGGTTCCACTGTTAGCCACTGCCTATCATTACTATACTAAAATATTCGGTTATAAAAAAAGGAAAAAGGGTTAAACAATAGAGACCCATGATACGGAAATTTGCAGGAAGAAAATATGTGGATGGAAACTGCACTACTACTGCAAGTGACATACATTGTCATGTTCATTCCAACTGTACACACACAAGGTTCAGAACAAGAGTTGACTTTATAAATTGATAGTATGTTTTAGTCTGGGCACTTGCAATTACATGCTGTGGAAAATAGTAACGAACTATTGGAACATAGTACTCCTACCTTCATTTTTTTTAGGATGTAGGTGTCATTCGCACATAATCGACCTGAGGATTGCTCAGTGATGACTTTTGGCAGGCGAAGGGACGTAAGTAGCCAGAAATATTATTGTTATGACTTATTACGGTGATCTCAGTGAATACCCGTAATTCCCAAATAGTATATAAATGCATTCAACTAGTTTTTTTTAAATGCCAATCTGTGAACTGATATTATATTTTAATACGACTAAAGGGTAATCAAAGGTAAAAGGATTTTCTATACCTGTTTCTTGGTGTTTTGTGTAAGTTATTTTGATAAAGACACATGTTATAAAAAATGAATATGCTAACTAATCAACACATCTTATCAAAACTATATACACTGAGGTCACGGGACAGTGCTACACACATATCGATCTAATCTCTACCCTAAAGAGCAATGGTAGTTGAATTCAGAAAAAGTCTAAAAAATGATCAGGTCAAGAAAGCCATCATTCATCAAGATGTTGGTTGTCAATCTAAACTAGATGATTACAAACCGGTACTTGATGACTATATATGATATGGTTCGAAACCAATCACAATGGAATAGATTCAATAACTTTACATCTTTATCTAAAGCTTCAACTGATTATTCTCCTTTTGTTATCATTACACACTATTGGTGAGATAAAATACACATTTACATTAACAAACTCACCTTAGTCACATATTCAGCGTCTGATGTATCACTATCCAAATCACTTAACTGAGAGGGTGAAACTGCGAGTTCTTCCGGTACTTCGATGACCTGAAATAAAATTTAAATAAAAGCTATTATGGAAAGATAATGCTTAGCTTAAGTAATTGCTATGACAGTTCATACACTGGGTTGTGAAAAAGCTTATTTCATCGCAAGCAATGATAGTACCAGATCGCTTACAACAACAAGACACGTCATGCAAATTTAACTTATCTGTTGATGGATTACATAAGGGTACAGGGTGATTTTTAACACCAAAAAGGGATGTTAACTTCAAGTGTAAAATGAGTCAGTGTTTCAGTTAGTGCTGTTCAAATTATCACCCAAACTTACATCAGTTAGTAAACATGATTTTTTTTTCACTGAACACGGATTCTATGAAAGTAATTCAAGACGAGAATGATGTAAAAAGTGTTGAATGTTCACCAGAAACTAGGATGAAGTTACTCACCCAGGTAGAGTTTCAAGGAGTTGAGGTAAATCAGTTGACGAGGTTATGAACCTTCATCGATTGAGATGGTTGGGACATGTAGTACGTATGCCTAGTCACCGATTGCCTCATCACACAATGTTGGCTGAAGTATGTGGAGGCTGGGAAAAGGCCCGAGGTGGCCAGACTAAAACATGTCACTAATGTATGAAGTCTCTGACTGTTGGTTTGAGTCATGTGGGGTGATGCAGACTAGGTGGTTGGGGTCGAAGGGACAAGAGGAACCAGTGGCTCAGAATAGATGTCAGTGGAGCAGATGTGTACACATACATTATCCTCATCTTAACGACGGTATACCGAATCTCACCATTTTGTCGCTCCTCTTTTCTTTCTTCTCGTGCTTTATATTTCTTTCGACTGAATTTTCTTATCGTCATCCTTCACCTCGCTACCTTCTTACTTGATGTAGTGATATGTGTGGCAAGTGGGACCGTTACTTAGTAATGCTTGGTCCTATGTTGATATTGATGATGAATCGTCCAACGCCTACCTATTACATCGCAAAATGAAAAGATCCATCAAAAGTATTGATGAAAAAAGGTTTCCCAGTAGACAGGCAAATAATGGAAGGAATGGTTATGAAATAGTAAGAAACGCAAGCATACGTATATAAGTCAATTTAATATATAAAGTAATTATGGAAAAACATACTTTTAACTCAGGTTCACAACGTAATTCCATATGTTCATAATTAGAGATTTGTGAACCGAGACGAGAAGTCATATACTGGTCTTTTGAACCGACATCAACTAATGTTTTGTCTTCTGAATCTGTAGATTTAGAGTACCATGGTCCACCAGAATGTTTTCTACCATCGTTATTGAATGCACCACTTCCATCAAAAGCTGAGCGTTTAACATTCAATGAATTGTGCTTTTCAAAACGCTTGTCAATACCATATCTTTGAGTAAAATCATCAACTTCTATTTTAGAGTTCAATTTTTGATTAAATAGATTCTTAGAGTATAAACTGCTTGTTTTTGTATCTCCAAATTTATTTTTAGGTATTTGTAGATCCATTAAATGAGGAGCCATTGATGGAGGTGTCAAACCTGATGGAAGAGCATAGTTATGATCATTATATTTTAGACCAAAGGAACAGATAGTTGGACCGAATGAAAGAGATGTATCTGGATACATACTTTCAAAATCTTCTTCACTAAAATATTGAATAAAACAGGTGACAATCCGATAACGATATATATATATATATATATATATATATATATATTATATATATATAATATTATATATATAATATTACAAAAAGGCATACACAAAATTCAGTTAAGGATAACCATTTAAATTTCCTAGATAAGAAAGTTAGATAATATATGTGATTCGTAGATAGACTACAACACTGTCATTACATTTCACAATTCTGAAAAAATACATTTCCAACAAGCAGATATAATTCATTACTTTGGTTGATAAACAGTTCCCACTGTCATCACAACTTCAAACGACAAAGAAATAATAATTCCCTTTTGATATGACAAACAGTATATTGAAAATAATACTTTTTGTCACAATAAATAATATCATGTTATCCAAAATATCAAAAAAGCTTCTTGATGAAGATTATGATAGATCGATGTAGAATCTAGCACAAAATTGTATCTCTTCATAATACAATGCAAAAAAAAAGTTGGTAGGATAAAAAGCGAATAACAAAACTAGGAAGACGTAAATTAAAGAAAAGACAACACACTGATGAGGGTTAATGAAGTCAATTAAGACTTCAAAATGATAAAGATATATACATTTGCTTCGTTCTGATCCTTTTTGAACGGTATCATAAAAAGTCTAACCACTGACATTTTAGCAATTCTAAAACAACAGAGAGTCTACACCTCCCTACACGAATTACAGTAGGACTTTATGGATCGGCATCATGTCTTATTCTAGCCTATTTAGCCTTCTTTCAAATCAATCTTATTTCGGTTGATTTTGCACGTGGATAGACGGTGACTCAGCATGCAAGACACTTGTCCATAAACCACTGTAGTTACTGAAGGTTTACAACCTTGTCAACTGACTTACCTCTCTTGTTTAGTACTAAGCGCCTAACGTGAACATTACTGACACGTTGATTCTACCGCACACGAAGGCATCTATGATTTTTTTAAAACTGTAACCTTTTCAAATATTTTACTTTCAACGACTGGCATTAATGACACTTTCTTCGCTAAGATAAACAGTTTGCAAGAAGTCATTCAGAAATACAAGGTTTAAAGTATTTTTAGTGTGAGTCTTTGAACGGCTTCTTAGCTAGTAGTAGCTCCGAAAGTCATATGATTTTTTAGATAGCTAACCATACACAGCATGTAGAAATTTGGCTGACTAGTTTGGATATCCGAAGTCAGGGCAATGGATCATCAATCCAACGAAACTCAGTCTACTTTGATGTGAACAAGCCCTTACGCATATCATGGCTTTGGCTTGTAAGTAAACTGATAATACGGTGTTGAGTTGCATAAATTAACTGGTGACGGACTCTGATATGACTTATTATGCCGGTGAGCTAAACAATCAGCTATTCAATATACTTGTAATTAAGACAACGAAACAGAAATGATACGTACTAAGTTACAAGAAGCGTCGATAAAGCAAATAAACGACTGAGATAAAGATAATGTTTAGATGGCATCTACATCACTGCGATCGATTCTCAGTCATATCAATTAGTCTGCAAACACCGACTTCCGCTGTTACGTGTACACTAACCAGGAAGTCCAAATAGTTCTAAATGGTTCAGATCAACAGTCACACCTCATTAACTGATGCCAAGTTTTAACCTGACCACCCTCACCTTTTCCTCCTAACTAATCCCCAACAAAATGGGATAAGAGGGGTCCTATTCATTGACTTTTTGGTTAGAATTGTAGTTAATCAATAGAAACTTGAAAAATTCTATTTCTTTATACACTCTTACCCAGCTATTCAAGAAAGCATACCTAAATCTTGTTTTAATGGAGTGAATAGAATAATGTGTACATTAACCACGAGAATTTTTCAACGGGTCTTTTCACATTACTAGGTATACCCCATACAATTTGACGAATTCTTCATCACCAAATACGCGTGAGAGAAGCTACCTTGTGAACTTATTTAAGGATTTCGAAATCCTCTCATTCATAAATGCTTACGGTTGAATGGAGTCTTAAAATAATTCATCTGACCAGTGTAATCCAATTTTTGATATCTCCAGTTAAACCACATAGTGAATACTGTTAATTCCCAACTTACTTGTTTTTAGCATCATACTTTAATGATTTCCATACTTTAGATGGCGTATCACTAGTGAATTTCTTGGGATATGGTAGAAGAGAAGTTACTGACGTCACCCAGGATCAACTGCATTGTCGGAGTCAAAATGTAGAGGGGTGTTTTTATAGTAAGTTAAATGCTAAATTACTTTAGAACGACCATTATTACCGTCAAAGGAACAAATCCAACTTTTAAGTATCTGTAACTTTTAAAGTAATGATATACGAGCGGTGGGGTCTGCTATCACTTTGCGCTATCAGACCTAGGTAATCAATCAATTAAAAGTACATATGGCAATGTATGCAGCGACGTATCCGAACCGGTCATTTAAACTCATAGGCAGTTTGTCAAACTAAACATGGTCAGGTTGTGGTGAATCCTGCTGAAGTCGCAAATACTCACTAAAAGAAAGATGTTTGTTTACGGTTGAAGTGCACCATCACAAAAAGAGGGAATCATGATTGACTCAATAGACACACTCAGACGCCTAATGATCTAAAGTGAGTGCTTAATTTGAGTAAAACTTAGGTACAGAGATAGAATGTAATCCCATTTCATTTATTTATTAGACGTATCACGTAGTGAAAGTGTTATATTCGGAATCATGTTTCGAACACAATTTATTGCCACTGGTTATAAAGCAAGTTTTATTTTCCCATAAGATTTAGTAACAAGATTGCTGAAGAAGATTGCAAATTCTCAACCACTCATGCCCTAGAAACACAAGATGTGAAGCAACAAAAGATTCTAACCTAGCATATATCCTTCATCCCATGGAACAACGTTCTGTACTGCTTACTTCTCCGCCTTCTGTAACCAATCCCAAGGAAATGCGAACAGTTAAGTTTGAAATCTTCTGGGACGACATTCGTAACATATGTTCAAACAAACGAAGCCGCTGTTTCACGATAACTTCAGTTACCGATCTCAATTACGCCCAAAAACTCTGTTTAACTTCATAATTACTTACAGGGTGTTTTCAGCAGACGATAACTTTCCTACAGAAGCGAAATTCAAGATAGAAATGAAGTCAGCAACTACGTGGAGTAGGCAAAAAGACACATCTATTGTATCGGTTAATGGTTCTACTTGGTTTCGCAGACCACGGTAGGTGGAGCAGAGTTCAAACTGGTGGCTCACTGGTTACAGGTTGCGTCTGGACCAAGGATTAACGGGCTCCATTTTGCGCATGCAGTGGTGATCCGACACTAGCCCGGAGATCAGGTTTCGCATGTGTAGAGCAGAACTACCCAAACCAATGCATTGCATACCCATCCTTTTACAGCAAGTTTGACATCACACCATTAGTATCAACATAGGACCAGAAGTGCTGTATAACGGTCTAAGTTGTTACAGTTCAAATCAGCACATCAAGCAATAAGATGATGGATACAGAAATAAAAAATCGGTCAAGTGCAGTAGACAGCAGTAAATTATAGGGAGGATGTATACTGAATTCAGTATGACGATTACGATAAAGTATGAATTCTAAGCCGTGTCACCGAGTCTCCAGTCACTGGTTTTTGATGTCAAGTGAACCTCAACCAAGGAATCTACATCCCCTAACACGGCTCAGAACATGCAATGATATTATATTTTAGACTGATCACCTCTAACCTTTTTTCCACCTGAACCTATTAGCCTAATATTATGAGACGAGGCAAACGGTAACTAGACATGTGTAAAACTTGTCCCAGCCACCTCATCTGATGAAAGTTCACAACCGAATTAGCTTTCCTCTCCTCCTTAAACTCTACACCTAACTTCAGCACAACTGACGTGGTGACACCACGACAAACAGCCTAGGCCAAGAAGGCAACACTGATCGAACGCCTGAAACCTAATCATAACCTCGACGCACAGTGGCCACCTTTTACAGCTATTACACCCAACCCCTAAAAGACAATCAGATGTCTAGGAAGCGCCATAAGTGGTGTAAGTTGGAGAAAGCTGATAGGGGTTTTGGAATCCTACGGAAATTTCGCCGGCCACTGACCCAACGGGGCTGATCCGATTTTTCAGGTAAGTAAAGTTTTCGACGCACTAGCCACCCCACTGCTAAACAAAACATCGGCAAAGATAAACACTGGAACAATTTGGAATTCAGGTGACGAAAAATATATCTTAAGGAATCTCAAATCAACTAGACATTTGAATAGTGTCTTCACCTAACACAACTATATCATCCGCATACTCCAGGTTTGCTAAGGATTCTACTGTCATAACATCGGTCCCTATGGAGTCAGGCAACGAGGAAGAGAAATCCATAAGTCTATGATGCAGCTGAATAAGAGTGGACAAAGTGGGTATCCTTGATGGACACCATTTGATGAACACAACTTATATGACAACTCATCATAGGCTCTAACACGCCCATGATCAGTGACTGAGACCAGTAAAATGCTCACATAGAAGTCAGCACCTTAGGAACCAACCCATCTAGCTGTGCTGCTTCTCGTTTCAGATTACCTACATCCGTCTCGACTTCTGTAGATGCTTAAATGTTCCATTCAGGATCTGACTAGGTAATGGGAAACGGAACAGTAGCTAGAGACAAGTTAAACTGTTCCTCGAAGTATTTTACCCATCGTTTCAGTCGTTTTCTCTGTAGTCGAAACACTCCCATTCTCCGCTGCAATAGGCTCACTAACTGCTGACTTTTCGCCCGTGTCCTAATAAGTTCAAGTCGAGTGTTACATCAAGACGGTTCTAAAAGGGATCTTGATAGTTTTATTTTACTCTGGCTTTTGATAAACGGTTTTAAATCTCATCGGTTACAACCCAACCAGCACTCACACAACTACCCAAGTACAATAACTTTCTGACAACACCCACCGGTTTACCCACAAGGGTTAATGCAGACAGGTTTCTGACAGTCTTGTAGAAGCAATTTTCACGATGTTGCAAAGCATATACCACCTACGGATACAGGTCGCTAACTAGCTGAGTGCGATTTAGGTAACTTGTGTGTTGTTGTACAGTAAAACTGTATCGTCCGTACTTCAAAGTTGACGAGTCTTTCATGTGGTAACAAGGTCAACAAGACCACAAAGCACTTCCTTAACGGGTGTCTCGAGAATGTCATCAATAGCAAACCCAAAAACAAGTGGCTACGTCAGGCTGCCTTGCTTAACCCTACTATTAGCTTGGAACAACGACGATAGGTAGCGGCATGTTAATTAATTCCACAAGGAAATCTCTCGCTAACAGACAATTTCAGAGTGCAGCCTTAATGAATCGGATGCACTCAAAATATCGAGGAACATAACGATCCTAGGCCTGCAATATGTGATGGTGTTTGAGCACCTGGTGCAGGGTGAACACCTGACCAATGCATCTACAACCTAAACCAAATGCAACCCGCTTCTCGTGGATGTTTCTCATACATTTTGCACAGCCTGAAAATTATGATAGCAGCCAACACTTTAAACGCTACCGGTACTAAATAGATAATGTAGACCCCTTTTAAAGATGGAAACATCGACAGTTTTCATTCCAGAGTCATGCGAAGTTTTCAATCGGCAACACTCGTCTTACTCTTTCAAAAAACTGGGTTACCTAGTCCGAGTACCTTATTATGGAACTCCACTTTGTCAGGTGGGTAGGTGTTGGCTGATCATAGAACACGATAAGCTCAGGATGGAGTTGCTACACCAGTAGACCAACTGATTTCGAAGAATACACCCAGCAACTGGTATACAATCTATATCCTAGACTGTCACTGAAACCCGGATTCTTGTTGCCGGTGGCTCAGATGGACTGGAATAACTTCCCACTATTTCTAGATGCGGCTGTTGCTTTCATCTTACTAGTGAATTCTGACCACCAGGTCTCACGATGTTTGATATGTTGCACCCGGTTACCGCAACAGACCGATAAGTGTCAAGAAGTTGCAAGGAGCTTATAGACACTGCTGATTAACAGGATTTTCTCCAGAATCGGGAATCACATAACTCGTTATTTTCATGGCGTTGTAGAGATCTAGCCAGTGCTCATCTGTTCATTTGAAGGTTTGATAATTAGCTTGGAAACTACCTTGGTTTGGTATTTAACTGCAAAAATGATATCCACAGCCATGCATCAGTGTCGAACTACCTTTACATATGCTCTGGAGATTCATTTCGAAAGCATCTTAAGTGTATTACTGTCATTTGACTGGGAAAGTCGTGTCTCCACCCCATATTCTAGTTAGCATTTCTAAAATTTATAGAGGTCAACTGTCACAGAGTTCAACAGTGAAAAGTTTGGTATTTCTGACAAAGGCCTGACTTTTTTTCTACGATACGCATTCAAAACACGTGTTGTCTTCTTTGCTGGAGATATCGTTAACTCATTCATATTTAGTTAACTAGATAGAGAACTAAATCTTCCACGTGTCATTCGATAAACCAGAGGGATTGCAATGTAAATTAACGCTCTACGTCACCCTGACTATGAAACCAGTGGTGAAATTTTAAAACGAAATGAAGAATACTCATTATAATTGATTCTGAACCATATGTATGGACTTCAAATATCGGGAACTATTCCAAAAAAACAATAATCCACCAACCGGATCACGTCGACAACCGGAGACTCTTGTTTGGTTCAGCTCTAGCTTTTCCGGACATCCCTCCCTCAGCGATCATGACATATCAAGAAAGACAGTAGCTCAACACATATAACACTTCCCAGACACCTAAGTTGGTTTGTAAATTGATAAGTTGACTAAATTCACTACCTAGAAATTCGCACTCAATCCTCAGTAATAAAGCGAAAGCTGCACTCTTCGTCACTCGGATAAATTCCGTAAAGAAACGAAACAGTTGAAACCTTAGAAATGTGTGAATATCAAGTATATTACACTAAGTTTGTATTCACGCAACACAAGTCAACTATTTTTCCTAAAAGCTGCTAAAAAATATCGGGATTCATGCTGGCTATTCAGATAATAGCAGCTAATTGTACACTAACAGCTCGATGATCCTTTTAGATGATGACACTTCACCACTGTTCCATTTCAGCTTTTTAACGCTGTCTTTACTAATGGTTTAAGGTTATTGAATAGTGTACTTAATTTTCTTAAAGCATACTGCTGAACGCAAGCCGAAGTTGTCAACAGCAACTTTATACATTGTCAGAGTTACTTTAACTAGTCATAAACCATCTGAGCAAATGACTTCTTTGAAACATGCAACCACGTATGGTTATCCAGCTGACTTAGCAAGTGTGGAGACCACTCAACTAATACTACAAGTATTAAAGGTTTCATGAAAATGCATTTATTTGGGGATAGTTTTTTCTATATTTCGGATTCGCGTTGTGTTCACTACAGTTTCAAAAAGTCCTGATACAAGTCATTCGTACAGAATATCGACTACTAACTTCTAATTCTTGAAATCCCCTTCCGAATTGCTTTTTTAAATCAGTCCAAGTTTTATATGCTGGGAACAAAAAGAATAACCGGGTTACCAGATTCGCTGTGGTTAATAACTAGGAACCATCCAAATCGCAATTGTACTTTTTGCAGTGGAACAACTTATTTATTTCGACCAACTTTTAGGATCCTTGGTGTCCTAAAAAGGCCATTTTCTCAAGTTATTTATGTTGAGCCATATATCAAATAAATACACATGAACTAGGAGAGACATGAAGTCAGATTACTGTGACCCAAACTGATTGTGAAAATAAATTGACGAAATACAACTCAGCAACCAAGCGCATGTTTATACATTAGGTGGTGAACCACCATCTAGCTGCTCAGGCATCAGTGGGTGAAATGGGATTTTAAACCATGAATCAGTGGTTGAAAACCGAACGTCTAAGTCAACGAGATAGCAATCGCGACCACAAAACTGAGTCAGTAACATCGACCAGGTTACATACAGTTCTGTAATCACAATATGAGGAAGTATATCGCCTGGCTCTATGCCCAAAAGATCATTCTTAGCAAGGCTATCACTGGTTGGAAGCTGGACATCAACCAGTTGCGTTTAAAAAGTACTGCTTACACTGGAACTACAACCTAAGTAACGATGAAGCAAGGTGAAAAGCCTTAGACAAAAATGCAGTCGAATAAGTGGGACCTCAGTTTCACATTTTGACTTCAAATACAAAAAAAAATAATCACATTTAACGAGGCTTACTCCACTAGTTGGTTGGCACTTGAGAAGAACACGACACAGGCAAATACTGACTGTTTGATTATGGAGTTGTGGCTTAACGGTATACGCAGTCAACTTCAAATCTGAGGATTACAGTTATCAATGCTATAACTATGAGCGGGAGCACATGGGTGGAACTACATTCCTAACTTTTCTTCCGGTTTACGAAGACATGCTTGGATAAAACCATAACTTGTACGATAATTACAGAAATACTTTTCCCTTCAAAAATCGACCAAAATCTGTGCATACTGGCTTGTAGTTTACGTCCTTCACCGAGCTTATCATCTGCAGTGGTGGAACCTAGCCACTTTGACATCAATAGATCTACATAAGCAGCAATGAGGATGTCAGTATTCAGGAGAAATAAATGAACAGGCTTTCGAGACGAAAAAAAGGTTCAAATCACAAACCCCATTTTTGAACGAGGCTTTCACATACTGAGGGATAGTAAGGAGCAAAGACCAATCATCGAACATGAATTAAGGCTCATCTGAAGTGTCCGTGATTCGGGAAAATGACAAAGTTCAATGCTTTTCTCATGCTCATGATTATTCCATATGAAAACACTCATAGAATCTACCTGGACACACCCTTTGAGATTTTAGAGACACCCTAAGTTAGACAATGCGATGTAATCTGGAGAATACCTATTCACAAAACTATAATTACATGCAACATGTCTTGCAGTTTGACGACACTTTGAAAGAACTTACTCTCCTTTAAGTTCCACACATGCAGTAAGTTCAAACATTGGTCCGACAAGGCGAATACCACTATCGGGGTCTGCATTGCAGTACTTTTTCTGAGCTGACTGGAAAAATGAACTGATGTGTGACGGTCGGCCATCGGCACCTCGAGATAGGTAAGTTGTCCGTCTCCTAATATCCATAATTGCAGAAGCTGTAGAACAACAAATATAGATGGATTACTAGCGAACTTAAACGAAGAAATAACTGTTAATCATCTAAAGGAGGTGAAAACGCTTACCAATTAATAGTCGCGCACTGTACTTACCTATTGTGTAGATAAGATGCAGAAAAACACTAACTTCCAAAGTCTTCTCTTTCACGCCTGAGAAAAATGACATGAAAATTTTTGCGAAAGTAATTTCTTATCAATACTACACAAATCAACTTGGTAAAAGATTATTAACCTAACTGGTATTATCAACGGTTATATTGATTGATCAATATTGATTGTCGCAGCAATTTGAATCACCGTGAACGTTCAAACTTCAAATGTTGAGATATAAGTGCTTTGTCTTCTGATTTTCAGTTTTCAAGTATGAAATCTGCAGACTCAGGCTGGAAAACTAGCTGCTAAAATTCATGGGATGACTTGGCCCTCGAAAAATAACTTCAGCTTCATGTGATGGTTTCGGATCATGAGGGACCCAATCTCATATCCTACATTAGTGAATATAGATCATTTGGATTCGTCTGTAGAGCTTTTCTGTTCAACTGTAGAAAACCTTCTGTGCAACTAGACTAAAAAACACTTCAAACTTGGCAACTTCAAATGCTTTTCATGAGACCCTGGATTTTTTAAGTATTTGAAATCCCAGGTCGCTGTTTGCTGCTATGCACAAAGCACCAGGAATGTATGAGTTGCCACCTGATAAAGCACTATTTGTATTATGGAGAAGTAAAGGCGAGCTTCTGTCAGTCGCCTACAGGCGTCTCACAAATGCTACCGTATTCGCATCATTTTCTACACTTTTTGATTTTTGCGGTTATGCCTACTGCCTCATTATTTATCAGGTGAAGATCAATAATCTTCCAGACGATGAATTTCTGAGCATTTGTTTATGGACTGCTACTCACTTATTATGCTCCTGTCTATCGGTTGTTAATATCGCAGAGACTTCGAGTAAAGCTTGGTTAAACGAGTTTCCCAATGCAGCTATACCTCCCGTTGGCTGCATCAGCAATACCTACTTTAAGGGCCATCATGATGTCCCCGCGCCCATAAGAACAATGAATGGAGGATTTGCCAACGATCTTGGATGTTCCATTAGTTTTGACCAAACATCCACCAGTGATTTGAATATTTTCAGATCCACCGACCTCAGTTTCACCATATTTTGGATCGTGTACGCCACCAGCACACTCTTTCTCTGGTACGTTACCTGGGAAATTTATCCAGCAGTCATGCGCTTGTTGCTGTGTACTTGCTCATCTGTGCGGTCTACCTTAGAATTCAAATGATCTTGCCAGCCTGCCCTCCAGAAAACAGAACGCAAGACATTCCGGTGAGCGCGAAACACCTAATTAAACTGTCAGGCAAATTATCCAAGGTCTTCACTTTAAAAAATATGAATCACACATTTAGCATCCCAAGAACAATGGATAATGCTTCTGGCTGGAATGCTTTGTGTGGATTTGCGTGCACTTTTTGGGAAAACGTACTTGTGAAACCAAGGAAAGTAATGGCACAAATGGATCTCTCATAGGCATCCCTGACATCTAGTTACAACGAATAGTGAGACAGCGATAGCATCCCTCTCCAGTCAGATGTCTACAGAGAAATCACACTCACAATCTGATTCATGTAAATCATGCTACATATACGCGCTTGAGACACTTAATAATGTACTTACCGGTGCTTACTTATGAATCAAATAGATAAATGAGCATCTGATCATAGCTGTCTAACGAGCTGGGGGCGGCAAGTGAAAAGGGGAATATTAATGAATCATTGTGTGATCACAGCGTGAAACCATTATCCCAGGTAACGACGCATGCTTTACAATTGCTTGGGAAGCTAAAGCTTCCCGCACTTGTGAGGTCCCTGTGAAATGCTGCAAGAAAGAAGGTATTGGCTGTGACATACTCGGACCACAAGTAACTTAATCGTATGTAGGCATAATGCAAAAACCTGAGAAGGTTTCAGTTGGACAAAAAGTTAGGATTTCGAACTGTCCGTATATAAAGCAGTATAGTGTTCGACAAGTGCACGAAAACTGAGCTTTCGCCAAAGCTAGGGTGGTGGATACGTGTGTGTTTGATCAGTGGGTACACTGGGCACATGACGAAAAGCACACAAGCTGCAGGGCCCAAAAAGGACCTCTGTCGGCGACCGAATGGAAAAATTTCCATTGGACCTTAAGAGTGAAAAGCGATTTGGACAAACTTTTGAAGAAACTTGAAGTGAATGAAATTGTTGATTATGGTTGCCATTAAGATAAGGACTTACGTAAGGTATGTAATAGCGAATATGAGGAAACAAAAGCCCCAGTAAGCTTAGATGATGATACTACATTTCACATAACGGGTTGGGCCAAGCACACTCCAATCTCAAGACGATTATTTCCTTGTTGCTTTTTAGCCACCAGCGTAACTGATGAACTTTTAGAACTGTTATTATTTAAAGAACGTGTGGTCCTTCCTGCATGCATAATTTTGTGTGAATGCCCCTTCAAAAAGAAAAGCAAAAGGTTGTCCCAATCCAGCCTCATTCAGAAGCTTTAGGTAGACCCCTGAAGCCTACACTGACTTGTGGCAAACAGAAGACTTACAAGCTAAGAAGCATGCATCTTCGCAGATCCGAATAGAGAAAACCTCTCTGGACAGGAGATCGCCGAAGTGTCCGGCCTCACCTTCGACACACGGCCCAAAATCTCAGCAGGCAAGCCGACTTTCCGACAGCCTGAATAGGCTCCCACGACACCCAGAGCAACGTATTTACGCGAACTACAGATAATTTGCGCTGTTGTTCTTGATAAGCTATCAAAGCTGAGTGCAAGAAAATCGCCAGGGTGTGACAGCATTCGCCAATTTGTGTTGAGACAGAGTGCGAGTACCCTACGTAGCGCGCTCAATAACCTTTTTCAGCACTTTGGACGAATGAAGGCAGCCACGAGGGTGGGAACTCACGGTCCTCTCTTCTCTCCAAAAAGGAGGAGACAGGGCCCGGACTGTTACCGACCCATGGCACTTTGCCAGTAATATCAAAAGTTATGAAAAGTGTGGTAGAGTACTATATGAGGGGATACCTGAACACAAAGCAAGCACTCAGTGATGCTAAGCACTGCTTACGAGGGAAATAGGTACTTCACCTCCAACTTCCCGGCACCCCATGACCACTGAAAAGTACACTGGGACCTCAGGGTCCTGGGCCACAAGATATTCTGGGTTTCGCCAAAGCCTTTGACGTGGTCTCACACACCATTCTAATGCACAAAATACCAGGGTTTGGTGTCGCCACAGTGTGCTGTCGGGGCTGCGGCAGTACACGGACGTTAAGGGGTCCTGCACGAAAGTCAACGTAGTTTGCTCGATCCGCAGAATATCATCCTCCGGTGTATCACGAAGAGCGATTCAGTGTCCGTTGTTGTCTATACTGTTCGTGAATGACCTCTCATTGCATACCAACTCTCCGATTCTCCTTCATGCTGATGACATCAAGATGTGGAGAGCAGTAACGTGAGAAACGGAATCAAATGCACCACTGGACGACCTGGGAAGATGCAGGGAGTGGGCGGAAAGTGATGAATAGGCACTTTGCCCGGACAAATGCGGGTTCGGGTCTTTCTGCACTCCTGATCCACAGAAAGCACCCCGTTCTCTTTGTGATTCACATCTTTCTCAAACCGCCACAGAGAAAGACCTGGTTCTAATGGTGACGGTGAAACCAGACACTGGCCCCAGCTAGCGAGGAAATCCCTCAGAAGCGAACACAGTGCCACACTTTTTGCATGGAAAATTATGCGCCCTCATTCCCGACCTCTTTTCGGAAGTCGACAAGACCGACGCACGACTCAGCTTGGAGGCCTGTAACGTCTTCTCTCCACCGCACCTAAAAATAGGCACGTACCTCCTGAAACAGGCCCAGTGGCGAGCCACAAGAGTTGTCCTAGAGATGCCACAAAAACCGTAGGACGACAGACTACTGACAAAATACCAAGTAGCCGACTTCACCCGAACAGGGGAACGCTACGAAGTAGCCGCAGCGGTGATCTTCGTGAAAACTCAGAGGGAATTGCCCGCCGAAGGTCAAAACTCGTGTGCGTTCACACTTCATCTCCCTTCGGGTCTGCGGGCACCGAATGAATTATCGGCGGTTGTAGTCTCTGCCCAAACTGTTGTCAGCTTCAAGAAAAAGCGGGACAGTAATGCGGTGGTCTACGGTTTACGCTGATCCAGTCCGAATACGAACCAGATAGAAGAAATCAACTGCTATCACACCACTGCGCCAGTCCCTTCCCCACTCCAGTCGTACAAAACCTTTCTGTCCATCTTACTTTCTGTCACCAACCTCACTCACCTAAGTCCCGTGTATCTTTGCATCCTTTACGTTTCACGTGAGTGTGTTTAAGTCACCCCTTTATTTGACCTTTCCTTGTCTTTTATTCACATGCAGGTTATCCTTCCACTATCCACAACCCTCTCTTATGACCGGTCCAAACATCTATCTGTCAACCTCACATTCAAAGAACCCAGCAGCCGCGCAGTCCCAGGCAAACCGGCCGACACCAAACCACCCGTTGGGATACTGGGGCCGTAGCATATGAATGGTCGGATCGGCTACATCGGAATCTGTCAGAGATCTTGAGCCATTTCACGAGACCTAGAGGCGAGCACGAAGAAGTCTGCCGGTTCACGCGAGCTGGTTAAATAGGCATTGGACATTAGAACACTACCTAAAGGATAGGATGGAGTCTAGATTTGAGTGGCACTGTCATAGAATAAATTACCAATACTTTTGAAGTAGGAGATTGGTATTTCATAAAACATTTATTGATGCTGGCAGAAGCAGGAACAGGAAGAACACGTATACTTCTATGCGTTGGTGATAATAATATTCGCTTTACTTCAAACAATGTGTAACAAAGTACAGCCTTCTCAGCATACAATATTTCAAAAGTTCATTCCTTGTGCAGCGTTTTTAAAAGAAACAACTATCGCTATCGGTCTGAACTAGACCGGTCGATGAATAAAAATTGAGCGACATTTTGGTGACGGTAGCTTTTAGCCAGTACAAAAATCCGCAATTTGACATGAGTATCCCAAGGATAGTGACTTGTTGTAATCTCGTATGTTTATAAGCCGACATCGACCCGGGATAAAGCCCATACACTGTGAGTGT